GCTGCTTGACCACACTAACCCACCTTACATTAAAATCATTTGCTAGCCCTTTTGAGCCTCTTACCCTTTGTTTCTTTTTAAACCCAATACAAGCCTTAAGTGAAAAACCCATATGTCCCTTATCATTGTGGATTGGAGGATATAGGTAATATCATAAGATGAGTTTTTGAATTAACTTTGGATTTGTATATTCATTTCTTTTGCAAACAACCAAATCTCTTTTGTTTGGGGTGGGGTATCAAGAATACTTTGGGAATATGAAGAATACTTGCCAAAAGAAGAGAGAGAAAAGAAAGAAAGAAAAAGAGAAGAAAGAAAGGAAAACAGAAAGAAAGAAAAGAAAGAAAGAAAAAAAAAGAAAGAAAGAAAGAAAGAAAAGAAAATTTCAACAAAAAAAAAGAAAAAAATGTTGAAAGAAAAGGAAAATACAGAAAACAGTATACCAAAGTGCAATGCAAAGAAAAAAAAATAATATAAGAAATTTATAGGATGCAAATTCAGTGAATCCTTGAATGTACCCAGTCTTTTTATTCCAGAACTCAACTCTGATCCTGTGTCCTCTAATCTTCTTTGATTTAGCCACATTCATCCATATTATCTACCTTGACTTCAACCCCATTACAACCATTACAAAAGTCCTCATGATATGTGTTTGCATGTGCATCGGCAGTGGAAATCTTAGAATATTATCAAGCCTATGGCAGTAGATCTTAATGTGAGTTGGCAATTGAGAGTAAACACTGTCCTTATACACTTGAGAGTGAGAGTGAAACACTAAAGCTGGAAAGGAATGTGATTTGAGTTTATGTTTTTCCATTTGAAGATAATGCACATTTCATTTTTGTAAGTGAATCAAGTTGGATTCAAGAAATCATGTGTAAGGTGTTGTCAATGTATGATTTGTATGACACTTGTTTGAAGTTGTGGATCTAATACTGGCTGGTTTGTTGTGAAAGAATAAAACATGGAATTTCATTGCAAATGCAACCCGTATGTTATTTAATGATACAATCTTGTTTTATGTTTATGATCTCTGTTACTAAAAGGTTGTCTCTTTCCTACTTTTAATATTACGAAGATCAAAAGCTAATACCATATTCTATTAATGAATGGACATTCTTGTATCATAGATAATATAATGTGACAATTAATGTCATATTTTTATTAACTTTTTAGGGGTTTCTGTTCCTAACTACTTTCATTTTCTTTTTTGATTGTTCAGTTTTTAATTTCCTCAGCAGCAGAGGTTTTGATGGAATTTTAAAAATAGCAGAAATTATCCAAAAACCTTAGTGACTATTAAACTTTAGCTGATAATGTATCATCTTAGTATGGACATTGATTTTGTGACTGGGCATATACTTTTTTAATCTAAAAGCTATTTCTCATTTGTATATCATATCCTTCGCAAAATGCAAAAACTCTGCATCTTGCTAGTCATTTTCTTCTCATGGTTTTGAACAAATAATTTATCTCTCATTTTCTTGAAAAATATTCCATTTTCCTCATTTCATTTTCTTCCATGCTGGTTTGTTGTGCAGTTATTCATCCTAACCAAAGATTGATGTCAATGGTAGCATCTACATTGATCATCCATTACTGAGGTTTAACAATAACATTAGTTGATCTCACCTTTACCGACACCTCTTCAATTTTATCGCCTTCTCCTCATCCATCTACTTTCTCTTGCCTTAACCATTCAAGTTCAACATTTTTCAGAGTTAAAGTTTTTTCACTTTTGAGAGACTTTCAAAGTTGCTCTTCTTTAACATTTTTCTTTTATCTTTGAAAAGTTTAAATCTTGAAACTGCATTCTATAAAATGTGCTCCTCATTAGTCTAATTTAAGTCTCATACATTTATAAAGTTTCAATTTTTTCCACTAAAATTCATTTTTTTATGGGTTTTTTGTTATGTTCTTCATCTTTGTTTTTGTAGCTACATAAGAAAAAGATGTACAATGAAAAAATTCACTTTAACTTTCGTAAACTTATATTAAAAGGGCTTATTTGTGTTAGATGGTGATAGTTGGTTTGGTACCTTCCATTAAAATATTAGATAACAACAACTTTAGCGCCAAAATGGTTGTTAACTATGATATTTTTTTGACAAGAGAAAATAAAGAAGAAGAATTATGTATAGATAGAAAGTTTTAAGAAATGGAGACAAAATATTTGTGGGTGATTTATACAAGAGACTAAAATGTTATGGGTAACAATTTCAAGGATTAAATGAAATAAAAATATATATTATGCCATATAAAATATTTTTTTATTATATAATCAATCATAAATGTTATTTAATGTGATATACTAATATTTTATTTTTATCTATTAATGGTGTTTTGTCAAAATTTTAATTTGTAAATTATTTATTTACAAAATATTCACAAGTGATATTTGAAGGCATATGCTATTTAATTATGAATTTAATCTTTCAAAATTGATTATTTTCACTTGTGATTTAAATTTTGTAAGTATCATTAGTCTAATAATCTGCACATAACAAAGTTAAACCACAAAATCACCTAAGATTAATTTCTCATATATAAATGCAATAAAATGTTAAATTACAGCATCAAAACTTCAAATTAGTTTTATAATTTAATTAATAAAAAGATAATGCTATATATAATATAGTGTATTAATATAGTCATTTAAAATTTTTTATGTATTCACATTCCAAAAATATACTTAAAAAAATAATCTAATAGTATCTCTTCCAAAAATACAAACATTATTTTTTTATTAAAAAATACACAATTTATTATTATTATTACAGTAAACGCAACAGAAAAATGGACTTTTTTACCATTACAGCAGCAATTTAAAATAATTTTAAAAAAATGTTAATTAAAATAATTTAATTACACGATAATTATTTCTTTTTTAAAAGAGAAGGGAGGCAAAACAAATTTTGTGGTTAATAATAATAGTAATAATAATAATATTTAATCATATTTTTGGTTATTGAACTTTCGTTTTTTATTTTAGTTTTTAAATTTGTGCAATTTTAGTCTCTTTTTTTTTTACTTTTTAATTAAATAAATTTCATTCGTCCATTAACTTATCATCCAATCTTTACTTATCATCCAATCTTTAGTGATCGTGACTATCCTTCTCATCATTTTTTCGCCGGCGACCACCATTGACTTTTCTCCGTTGCCACCCCCCATTGCACGCGCTTCTGCGCATTAGTTTCACGTCACCGCCATATTTTTGTTTGCACATCTCATTTACCTTCATTACTGTGCCTTTGATACCTTGTAAGAAACTCCTCAGGCCTCCCAATTATTCCTCTTGGGCAGCGGCTGTTGAACTTTGGTTCCAACAGACAAACGAGACCATTGGAAGCAAGTTGATGCCTCCCTTTGCAGTGTTCTGTGGTTCTCCATTGATACCAAACTGCAATAATTTAAAACCTGCTATGAGGTTTGGGATAAGGCCAAACGAGTTTATTCTAATCAAGTTCACCGTATCTCTATACGGTCATTGCCAACCTTATCTCTATCAAGAAACAGGACATGGATATGCAAACTTATTCATTTTAAAAATTTTACTAAGAGTATTTAATTACAAACGTAGAGAACTATGCTTTCTAATAAAAAAATTTATTGACTTAAAGTTAGTTCCCAAGATGTAAATCAAAATATAGTATTATATATAAAAATATTAATTCAATACAAATATTTTTTTATTAATATATGTTTATTATGTTAGATTCTTAAAATTATAAATTTTTTAATTTTAAAAAATATTTAAATCGGGTTCGATATATCAAATATTAGACTACAGAGACAGAAATAAGGACATCACACAAAAATTATATCTGAAAGCAATTATTAAATCTTAAATACATCAGATATGCGTCAAAATTATTAGAACACATCTATTTTTTTAATGACAGTATAATATTTTAATGTGTATATATTAAATTTATATTTATATTTTAAAATAATTACAGAGCTAATTAATATTTTAATGACGGTATAATATATATTTAAATTAAAATTTTATTTAGTTATTTATTAGTCTTTTGTAAGATACAACATATTATTAAATCTATTATTATCTTAATAAATATTATTTTAATTTTATTAATTCTATTTATATTACATTAACAAATAATTATTTAAAATTATTTCATATTTTAAAATTAATTTACTTCTTTATTTTAATTAGAGAATAATTATAAAAATTTATTCATGCATGTATTGGTATTAATATTATAAACTGTGATAATATTTGCTTATTTATTTATTAATATAATTCAATTATACACGTATAAAGTTTATCATAACTACTCTTATAATTAATATTTTATCATACAAATTATAAATTAAATTATATTTACTTATTTATTAATAATTTTTTAAAATTGTTGGTGATAAATCAAATCAAATCATTAAATAAGAGCTTATGTATCCTGTAAAATTATTGAATATTTTAAATTTTAATAGATTTACTCTCCACTGCTTGCAACTCAAAGAATGAATGTCAATTATTCTACTTCATAATATTAATTCGACATTAAAAATGTACAATGAAACAAGACTTTTTATTAAGGACAATCATTAAATTATATTAAATTATATTTATCAAAACCTATATTTAATCATAATCAATTATATGTTGCATTGTTTAAAATAATGTCAATAAAAGAAATAAAAATATTTATTATTAAAAAAGATAAACAAATATATAAATACAAAAAATATTGTATAAAAATATATTTCATAATCTTTTTTACTGTAATTATATTTAATATAATAAATTTTTTTATCATATTAATATATTTTCATATTTAAATTATATATTTTATATTTTAAAATAAATTAATTTAATAAAAATAAAATAAACCCGTGCATATTTATTTACTAGTTAATAAGTATTTTTCCTAAATATTTCTATGAGAATCCTAACGTATAGTTAATTTCGGTCGACGCATGATCCTACAAAGTGTGTTTAAATTACATTTTTTTTCCACAAGGTGGAGCCCATGAACAGAACAAGTTAGTAACGTGCATATGAAGTCTGCCACCGCAGATCGAAACATGCACTAAATCATGCTTCGTGGGTGTGTTTGGAGACAAAATCACGTAAATGTACATCTATAATTATTCAAACGTGAATCCAAACTCGCAGCCATGCCTGCTGCCAAAACGCATGACCTTTGCATTCTCTAGCAAAGATTTCATCACGATCTATAATCGCAGCTCCAAACCATTCATAACGTCATCAGAGCTCAAATCCCAAGATGCAGAAAAGCCTCATGCAGTTTATCCTGTCTCTTTGCAAATACTTGTTAACTTCAAATAGACCTCTGGTACCATGATCATTTTCTTTCACCAAAACCAGAAATGTCCTGCCACTACAATTGAATATACATCCTGGAGCTGCACATCAAGGTATTAATCTGATTATTATCATTACAGACAGGACCTTAATCACGGTCATATTCCATTGCATATACCTGCAAACTTATGGCTCTTGAGCTGAAACAAAGATCAGCTCTCTGCTATAGTGCACTCATGCTGCAAGTTGAATTAATTAATGTTTAAATTCATTAATTTTTTCTGAAATATATTCTCCCAATCTTGGGCACCGATATTTTTGACAAGCATCAAGGGCTCTTTTCAACATAGGAATAGTGGGCTCTATTGTCATTGTCTTCATAAAATTCTCAAGCTCATCCATGTATCCATGCCGACTGTAGAGTTCAATCATGCAGTCATAATGCTCCAGCCTTGGCGGGATGCCGTATTCATTGTTCATTGACTTAAAGCATTCAATGCCTGAATCAACAAGGCCTTCTTCAATACAAGCAAGCAGGATGCCTTCAAAGGTCACGTGGTCTGGCTTGATGCCTTCTGCTTCCATGATCCCAAAAAGTTCGAACACTTCTCTACTCCTATGATTGTGACAACATCCCAAAATTATGGTATTCCAAATGATCACATCCCTGGAAACCTCCCCCTTCAGAACCTCAATAGCATACTCAAGACAACGGCATTTAGAGTACATGTAAATCAAAGCCGTTCTGATTATAATATCTATATGAAATCCATGTCTAATGATGAATCCATGAATCTGTTTGCCTTGGTAAAGTGCAAAGCTATTTGCACACGCTACTAAAAGGGTTCCAAATGTATATTTGGTCGGTTTTGTCTCCCACTGCATCTCTGAAAATATTGTTAGTGCTTGTTCACTTAATTGATGATGACCATAGCTAGCCAATAAAGCATTCCAAGAAACCCTGTCACGCCAATTACTCATCTGGTTAAACCAAACTCTGGCGCTGTTCAAGTTCCCACATTTACCATACATGTCAAGAAGGGCATTGCTGACCATAAGATTTGACTGGAAACCATGTCGATAAATATAACCATGAACCTGTTTCCCCATTTCATGATCCGAAAGCCCCGCTGATACACTTAACATCAAACCAAGAGTGACATGATCCACCTCATTAATTGTATCAAGCATGAGATATACAAAATTTAATGCCTCAGACCATTCAAAAAATCGGGTATATCCAGCCAACATTGCATTCCACGAGATCACATTACGTTGAGGCATCTCATCAAAAAGCTTTCTTGCCTCCCATGTTTTCCCACTCATGGCATACCCCGACACAATGCAAGTCCAAGACACAACATCTTTCAAACCAAGCTCATAAAACACCCGAGAGCCATCCTCCAATTTGCCACACTTGGCATACATGTTGACAAGCGAGCTCGAAACAACATTATTCGCCTGCAGACCCAACTTCACAACAACCCCATGAATTTGCATCCCCTCCTCGAGTGCACACATGCTGGAACAAGCAACAAGAGCGTTAGAGAAAGTACAACTCAACGGCCTAATTGCAGAATTCGAAAACATCCTCGAGAACATGAAAACAGCTTCCCTTGCATCACCAGCATCAAGATACCGCCTCACAATGACATTCCAAGTGACAGCATTAGGACGCGGAATCTCATGAAACATCATGCGAGCATCAACCATAACCCCACACTTGGCATAAACATCGACAAGGGAACTCCCAAGGATCACATTGCCACAAAAACCAAATTTTGTGACCAGCCCATGAACCTGCTTGGAGAGAAGAAGCTCAGAAGCTGAAGCACAAGAAGCAAGTACACCAGCAAAGGTAACCTCATTGGGAAAAACCCCGGACCTATTCATACGCAAGAACAAGGAAACAGCTTCGCCTGGGAAACCCAATTGAGAATAAGCAGTGATGAGAGCATTCCAAGAGCCACCATCTCGATGGGGCATTTCGTCGAACAGATCGCGGGCATCGCGAAGACAGTTGCATTTGGCGTAGGTTTCAATGGCGCGGTTGAGAAGGAAAATGGGGGGGTTGGGGGTGAAGGTGAGCAAGTGGGATTCGAGCTTGCGGGCTTCGACGATGGCGCGGTGGGTGGAACAGAGTCGGAAGAAGTGAGCATATAGAGAGTAAGAGAAGGGTTGTGGGAATGCAAAGAGAACAGATGCGGCTTTTCCGATTCTACCGGCTTCGAGATAGGTGAGAATTGTTTTGGTGACTGTTTTGATGTTGGTGGCGTTTGGGTGTGGCTGTGCCTTCAGGTTTTGCCTATGTAGGAGTTGGTTCAGTACAGAAGCTGCACTAACACCCATACAACTCAAACTCAACCCACTGTGTTTCCTACATTGATGTTATATTGTTATTATACACAAGATTCATTGTTAAGAAAAATGTACATGAATCAACACTCCATGGTGTGATGAATAACAAAACAAAATAGTTTATCTCTACATAAAGTTTACTCATCTCTCTAGTGTTACAATATAATTTGATCAATTCATTCATCTCTTTCTCCTTTGATATACAAAGACCACATACGGAATGGGCTTTACTGAAAATAGACTTGGCCCAAAAAAAGCATCATGAATTTATTAATCGAACTTTGAATAGAGGAATTAGAGAAAAAAAAATCAAGGTTAATTTCTTATCCATTTTTCCAGCATGTGTTTAATGAAACCATAAATAAATAAATAAATTTGTTAAAATTTATAGTATTTAATATTATCAGTACAATTTTAATAAAGAAATTATTATTTATAAATTTTTATTGAGTGTTTTTAGGTATATGTTACAAAAAATAACTTATTATTTTTAAATTTAAAACTAACAATAATTATTAAAAAAAGTTGTAATCTTTATTTTATCTATATTATTTGTTTTATAAATAAGAAAATTAAGTACTTACAGTAATTTAAAAATAATCTTTTATTCCCTTTCTCTTTGATTTGGTTCATTTAATCCTAAATAGTAAATACTTAAATAAAACAAAGTGCGACAAAAGTAATATAATAAAACCAAGTCCGCATGTCTTGAAATTGTATAGAGATGTCTGATTCTTTTATTTCGCTTTCTATTAAGTAACTTTGTTAGATCGAATAAAATATAAAAATTTATATAAAATATGATTAGATAATAGATAAAAGTACAACAAATTTTCAATTTTTTTTTTAAGTAGAACTTTGGACCCTGTACTTTGATATCCAACTGATTGTGAAAATAGATTTGAAGTGGGTTTGAATTGAAAGCGACTATAAGCAAGTTATTTACCTTATTCAATAGGTTTAACTTTCTTCTTGTCCATTGTTCAAGTTAATATAAGACATTAAAAATGGTCTAAATTTCATTAAATATATTAAGTTTAAGCATATTTGTAAGAAAGTCAATTTATGTACAAATAACCTTGTTAAGGACAAATTAGATGATAATTTGTATTCCTCTCAGAGTAAGTCTGACCCTTCTAATCTTCTCTCCTTTCTCTGTATGGACTCCCTTAGTATAGGAATCTCTAGAATCTCTCTATAGTTTTGTTTATTTGAATTTTTAGTCTCTTTTTATATATAAAAAAAAGTACGATAGATTTTTATTTTATAATTAATACATGTTAAAATAATAAAGTAGATATATTATTTATTATATTTATATTTAATTTAAATAACTCACATAACAAAACGATTTTTGACATGATAGTTTTTATTTTATTTTTGACATTTGTTAAATTAAAAAGATATATAAATTTATCCAATAGTCTTATCACATCCTTCCCTTTACTAAAAAAAATTTATCATGTCAAAGTGTTTAGGTTAAAAACAAATATAATCAATCACGTGTGACACATATCTTAGCCTCTAATAGGATTTGATTTTGCTGGGCTATTGCTTCTGACTTTTCTCCATGATGATATAAATTTATCAAAGCTTATTTTAGGATTTCAAATTAAAATCATACGCGTGCAAGAAAATGAACCTTGAATACGACACCGTCTAGAACGAAAAGAATTGGAGATAGACAGAGTCGTGAAGTAACAAATCAAATTATTAAACCCTAAAAAATAATCAATAACCTCTCTATCTCTCTCACCACTCGTGGGGAATAATCTGTCATAACTTATAAAAATCATTTATATGCATTTATAAAGACGTTTTGACTTGGCATATACATGGCCTTCTAGATGAGTTGCATCATTTTCTCTTTAAGTTTTTGTTTACTACAATTTGGTCGCTATATATTTCTTTATAATTATTATTTGCTTCTGTTTGATGGCTGTCCCTTCTTGCTCAAAGAATTTCATGAATAAAACAGACGCATGCATGCTTAACATTTCTTTCTTAATTCTTTCGCCTGTCTATATATTTCACACTACGTTTTCACTCTTATACATGTCTGTAGGAACCAGTTGTCACTTCTAGAAACCCACCACCAATCCAAGAGAAAAGAAAACAAAGATTGTTTCATACTTTGTGTAAGTCAGTATTAAATCTATATTATTTAAGATATTTTAGAAAAATAAAGTCATCATAGTTTAAGCTTATTTACTCTTCTCTCCTAATATTGAATTGATCCCACATTTAAAAAATTATACTATATAAAAACTTTGGTTTAAATTTTATTTTATTGATGAAAGATTTATAAATATCTCTATAAATATTTACCTTTTAATTTAGAGCTTAAATAATTTTCTGGCTCTGATAAACTTTCAAAATTTAACTTATTTGAACTTTTACAATTAAAAGAAGAAGAAAAAAAAAGGTTTTACTAACCAGTTATACGTACACGTGCATGTCATTCAAAGGTAGGGCACATTCTTAACAAGAAAAAGGTGTCATCTGCGTCTTATCAAGGAAAAAACAAAGAAGAAGAAGAAGAAGAAGAAACTGTTATCAGCGCTGATATAAAAAATATCATTAAAAAGTTAGGAAAAAAAAATGAAAATAAGATAATATGAGCATAGTCAAATATTGGTCGGCAGATTTATATACAAAGTACTCATAAAACCTTGGCTGCTGCGTACCATAGAAATGGATAATTTCGTGCTAATATTAATCCTCATATTGATAGTTACTTACTGTACTAATGCATTTCCACCAAAACACTGAAAAAGAAATTATATGCATTGTTTGACGTAAGATTTCTTTTTGTTAATAAATTTTTTATTTAATGAAAAGTAAATTATTAGGATGGATATTATAGATATGAATACAATTGACAGATACTTCTGTCGAAAGAACAATTGACATAATATATTATTAACACATTAAATGTAAATATAATATGTCATGTACTATTAATGTTGACCCATTGAAATAAATAATATATATCAATAGTTTAATTATTGTTAAACAAAATTATATTAACATAAATAATCTTAATGCTTAATTATTTGTATACATTAGTAAATGTCAGCTTTAAAATGGAATATTTGTATTAAGTATTTTATATAAAATTAAAAATGCATATAATGTTCTCATTTTTATTACCATTATTATATAATTTTGTTTTATTAATTATTATTTTTTATTTTAAGTTGGGATTTGGATTCTCTCATATTTTTTAATAACAAGGTATGATTATATTGAAAAAATATATAATTTTATTAACTTTAGTTAATAAATCCCAAATTAATTATACGATTTTCGTTGAATAAAAATAGAACCTTTCTATTTTTAATATAATTATATTATATTTCTTAACAACATAAATTTAATTCTCTTCAAGTGAATAATTAATAAAAAAAGATTAATATTATCTTAAAATTAGAAAAAAGAACGATAAATAAAATCAATTTTTTAAAAGGTGTCAGATCAATAGAAAATAAGAGAAGGAAATGACAACGGAGATGTTTGATTGATGAATATTGTTATGAAGTTGTAGGGTCCAAATTAAAGATCTGCATAGGATTGGGTGGATGACAAAGCAACGAGGAAGCGTATAATTATATTTATTTGTTTAAGCTTATTTTAATTTAAACAAATCTCAACGGCATGAAACAAACGGAGTTAAATATCATTTCCTTCGCTTTCAAATCGAGTAGTGGAAACCCACTACCGGTGGGCAGAATATATCAACATAAAAGCAGCCTCAACCGTCACAAAACTAATATTTAGATCAAATAACTTTAAGCGTTAAATTTAGTAAAATAAATATTTTTAATTTTTATTGAAATTAAATTTTATAAATCTAGTTGCTAATCATGTAATATTGTTGTATTAATTGTGTGCATAAATTCTTACAAAATTTAAACGTTTAAAAATACATAACTTAATAATAATAATTTATTTATATTTAAAATAAAACTGAATGTTTAAATAAAATGGAATGAAGAAAAAGTCATTAAATTTTTAATCATATAAAATTTTGTAACTTAATTTATTTTATTTAATTTTAAAGGTTAAATTAATAAAACTTAATTTTGATGAGTAGTAATTATTAAATGTATTGTTTTATTAAAATTAATATCTAATATAGTTTAATCATGTCCCTTAGAAAAAACATTTTTTAACATAATCTTATCTTGTTATTATTTGATTAAGGATGGGAGATGATGACCAAAAAGATAGAGGTCGTAGAAAGGAGAAAATCCCCTATGCAAACTATTACTTGAAAATTGATGTTGAAAGGCATTGAATTTAACAATTCAAGTGCAGTCTATTTACAATTTTAATTAGTAGTCCTGCCTTTGTCTTTGCCGGCGTCTACCGGAGAACTTAAGTCCGGCAAAGTGCTCCATCCAAGACTGGTTAAACAAGGAGATACAATACCCCTTTAATGACTGATTAAGACAAGTATAAATAATATACTCTTTTAAACGCATTTTTAATATATTTTTAAAAATTAAATAATTTTAGAAAGTGCATTACAATGATAAAATTTTAAAACAAAGTGGATGAAGAGTGATTGCTTACATAGGAATACATTTGTATTAGACGTTATCAGAGGTTTCATTTCTAGAATGTTTACTAAGAAATTATGAAGAAATAATATCTTTGAAAGTATTAAATTAAGCATTTATAAAAAATGAAGCTAAATCTTGACTAGAAGGGACCAAATTAAATGAGGCTCACTCAACCAACCAATGGTGTTTTTAAAGCTATGAGAACCTTTAATCGTGGATATAAAATGACATAAGTTGGAGGAACTTGAACCTCACTCTTTAAGAACTGACTTATACATATACCAACTAAACCACCCATCTCTCTCTTCATCTACCCATCCATGATGGTATGTGGTACTATACCTTGCTTGAGAGACATTCAATATTATTAATTTGTTAGTATCATAACATTCAAAATGATATGAAGATTATGATCCATGAACAAAAGCTATGATTGTCTTCTAATCCATTATAAAGAAACAATATAAGATTATTATGATGATTCATGATTGCTGCTAATTGATTCACTTCACATTTTAGTGTGGGTCTCTTGAAGCCGTTATAATCATTCTTTGTGGCATTCTTCAGTGTCCCAAAGCATTTAAGTTACTCCAAAAAGATAAACATGGAGAAGGATTGGCCTTTTCTATAATTCCATCATCAATAACTTGTAATAAAAAAGAGGGTAGACATGTAAAGTTCATTCCCATGGCCATAGGAGCCGAAGATATTGAAACAAAGTCCCAAGACAATGAGGGCCAAACATTTGAATTTAATATGATTTTAATCTAACAGTGCTCAGATGCTACTGTTGGATAGAGAAATTTTTAAGTAGACACAGAGTAGGACCTCGCAATATAACCTCAAAACTTTTTATACAATAAATACGTGCGTTTATTTCCTAATGAAATTCTAACTTACTCGTATCACATTTCATTTGAGATTCAATTCTAACATTAATATTTAATAATTTTATTTTTGTATAATAATTCTAAATTTTTGTACAATATTCTTTTATATCTTTTCTTACTTATAGAATAAAGAAAAATAAATATATTTATGGTTTAAAGATATTAAATATATTTACAATTTTGTTTATTTTTTAAAAGACATCCTTAACTAAATTAAACAAACTAATAAAATTTATATGTTTTATTTCAAATATTTTTTTTAATGTACACGCGCAAGGGACATGTTAAAAAACATTAAATATACATTATTAAATATTTTAAATTATTATAAAAGTATGTTTGTGTTTTATTTCAAAAGCTTTTATTTTTACCTTCTTAACATGTATGTCGTTGGACACGTTAACAAAAGCAATTATAAAAATAATTTCTAGAATATTTTAAAATGTGTCTTATTAAATTTCAGAAGAAATATTTACTTTATAAAAGCATTAAGAAAGATGAGCAGGAGAATATAATTAATTTTTTAAATATTATTTTAAATAAAAATTTAAATATGTTTTGCAATTTTAAAATATGTCTATTTTTATCTAATACTTATTTTATATAATATTAATATTAATTAAAAAAAATATAACATTGCTTTAATATTTGTAAGCAGTTATAGAAGATACGACGACAAATAATGAATTACGGGGTGGAACAATTACTAAGTGTCGATTTAATTCAAGGAAGAAAATGTTAACAAAATTGTTAATTTAAAATTAAATAAAGTTGATATTGAATTTTTAAATATAATTAAGATATATACATAAGTTAATTTAAATAATAAATTTTATTAAAAATATAAAAAATGTTTTTTTTTTCTTTACTTTTAAACAAATAAGTGTTAAGTCCACTTAAACATTCGTCATTAATTTATTAAATATATATATTTTTTAACTTTCAAAAGAGGGGTTTGTGGTGATTTAACGGTTATTTTCACTATCCGCAAATTTTCGGGAGTCCTATAATACTTACCTATTTAAAAGCAAACTGAGATAAGCGACACAGAAGGTTTTTGTTTCCATCCTTCTAGAGAGAGAGAGAGAGAGAGAGAGAAACAGAACACCCACCTCAAAAAATAAAACATCCGTTTTAATTTCTCACGTTTTAAGCGGAAACAATTTTAATGTACAAAATCATTTTAAACCAGAAATTTTTTTAAATAAAATTTATTTTAATTATTAATACCAAACAGTAACAAAAAAATTTCAGATAAAAAAATAAATAATTATACAAAATTTTATTTGTAAAAAGTTATTATACCTTTATAACTAAATACGTACTCTTTTTCCATAAACATTCTCATTATTTAAATGATATTTATATAAATAAATTAAATAATTTTTAATATATAAAAATTATCAAAATATGGTGATTTAAATAAATTACAAAACATAAAAAGTTAAAAATATATTTTTTTTAGTATTTTAAAAAAAAAATTTTAAATCGTCATTAACAAAAAAAAATTTACAACTTTTGAATATATATATATATATATATATATATATATATTAAATTCCCTCTCAATTTTTAATACTTTATAATTTTTATTTTTTTATCTTTAAAACTCCATTCTTGCACAAAAAACTGTTGAGTTTTTTAACTTTATATTTTTATAATTTTTTAAAAATACTGTATTTTGATATATTTTATTTAAAATTATTCTAAAATAAACTTTAAAAATATATTAAAATAATTTATTTAAAATAAATTTTATTAATTTAATTTTAAGAGTTGAGAATAAATAAGTAATAATAAAAAAATTGAATTTTTTTTATAACTTGAATACAATAAATTTATATTTTTATAAAAAAAATTTAATTATAAATATTTAAACTTACTGAAGTTAATAAAATTTCTAAAAAATAAAATTAAAATAAAATTTTATAAAACTAAGGTGAGTAGCTTAACATTCTGCATAAGTTAAGAAACTAAAACATGTATTGATTAAAAAAATGAAAAAAAAAATGTGAAAAGGATTGGCCTACATATCCATGATATCCACCTCCATCTAGAATCCCTTGACTTTTGAAGCTCCTTCGCCTCGCTCTTAATTAAAATCTTCTTTACCAAGAAATTAATAACATCACCTCTTCGACCCCAACGCTGACATCGCTCAACACGTCACCACCTTAACCTCCAACCCTCCCCTGTTTTCAAACAAACCCAACACCACCACTCTCTCATTCCTCCCAAAACTAAACACAACCAGCAACCAAAAACACCGCCATGCTTGATCCAAGAACACACCAGCCCCCTAATTATTTTCACGAAACACGGGAACCTACGAACTCTGTTTTGTGGCCTTCAAAACCACCTTTGGATGATGATTCTGGCATCTGTTCCCCTCCTCTTTGGACCACAAGCCCCCCACATCGCATTCACCATTTCCGAAGCCTTTCACCCACTTCAAGAACACAAGCCATAGTCAATGGCCAAAGGGAACTCATGGAAATGGTTAAGAACATGCCCGAGTCTAACTACGAGCTTTCCCTGAAAGATCTCGTTGAACAGCACCACAGGGTCGACGCTAGACAAGACAACGCTGTGGAGGAGGAGAGGAATTTGAGCGCATACAAGAGAGAAAGCGTTGGTCGCGGTAGTAGAACTAGAAAGGTTGAACATATGCCACATGTGAAGCGAAATGGAAACATTGATCGTGGAGGTTTCTATCTCAAAATGGTGTTTCCTTTTTCTTTGGGATCTAAGGACAAGAAGAAGATGAAGGGGAAGAAGAAAAACGAGTCCTTGGGGAATAGTAGTTCAAAAGTTACCCCTAAACCTGATGGATCAACAAAGGGTGTTGTTGATAAGGAGTGGTGGAAGAAGAGCCCTTCAGCGTGTAGAGAGAGTGATAGTGGTGAATCCAGTATCAATAGTGGAAGCGTCAAGAGTTCTGGTAGTAGCAGTAGTAGCAATAGCACCACTAGCAGAAGTAATAGCAGGTATATCCCATCTTCAATTTCAAACCAGTTCAAAATAGAAATGCAATGCTTTTTTTTTTTTTACTTTTTTGGCTTTGAATATGTTGAAATTAATTGACGGAAAGTAATCAACTAATTGCAAAGTGTATGAATTATAAATCAAACAGAAAAGCTCATACACATCAAGTCTGCACAAATTTTTAATCAATTTGTGGCAGATTGAATGCCGGAAAGTTGACATTTTTCTATAGGTTTTTGGTTCTAGTCACAACTCAGGAGTCTAATTAGAACATTCAGTTGATAATTCTTCAAATTTACTCTGTCAGTTTCTTAGGAAATACTATGATGTACTCAAAAATTTCAAGGTGTCTCGATTGTTGCATTCGACCCGATTCGTGATAACTGAAAGGAAAAGTTCATTGACCTTGCTTTAATATCGTACCTCACTGTGCCACTGTCGATCCGTGACTATGTCACGGTTAAACCGGAGATGGCACCACCTTAGGGTGCTTCTTTTTTGGGGGATTTTATGTTGATGTTGTGCTCTTCGGTGTTCAAGTTGTTAGACAAAGTAAAATGAGTTACAGCTAGGCCTTGTTTGTTTGCGAGTAGCAATTAATTTCGTTGAATGCTAATCTGATTAAGCACGGAATTGTTGTAAAGCAACCAAGTGTCTACTCTGAATCACGGAAATTGACGTAACGATTTATGAATAATAACTACATTGTTTGTGAAAAGACAACTAATAAATATTGACATTGCAACCATACTAATATTAATTTGGATGTGTAATATCATGTGCTTATTGCTAATTAATCTTTGGATGTGATGCAGGCGTGAGAACGGTGGTGGTCGTTGCTGGCATTTCATTCGCATACCCAAAAGAATAACGCGAAAGTAACTTCTGATGGAACATGCTACTTTATGGTCTACATATTCATGATCCTTACAAGCTTTGCTTTCATAAACTCCTGGCGAATTTTACCGCAAGTCATTTGACACAACCTAGTTCTATTGTAACTTTTTATGAATGATGAAGGTAAATTCACGCCTTGGAGTCACATAAAATGCACTGTGCAGATATAATCTGTATAAATATACAATGCTTCATGTAATTAAGTAGTATTTTTTTTTTCAGTCATGATAAGGCCAAAATACAAGCATGCATGCCAAGAAAAGATTTACTAAGTTTCCAATTTTTTTGTTTATCTAGACCATCAAATGAATATGAATCCGCTCTTGGAAATATATTCATGATGACTTGAATCCTATAGTTTTTTATGAGTTATAAATGGTGTCAGTCTTGATCTTAGAGGGCGTGTGTGAATAATGAGGATTTATAAAAAGGATTGATGATATAGCATTATTTACGAATATATGTAGAGACAAATTATAACTTTCTGCTCAAATTTGTCTCTTAATAAATGGAAGTTCTGTAAAATTTCGCTTGTGTCGTCATATTGGCAATGAAGTGTGTGTATAAAAATTTATTTAACTTGAATCTAAAGATAAAATTATAACTAATAGCATTTGAAATAAATGTAGCCATGGTAAGTGAAACTAAAATATTACTAGATCTTGATGCCTGGAGGAGCTTTTCTTGATTTTCAAGTGTTCCCCCTAATAAATGGGGCTTAAAGCCTAAACACAAACTAGAAATTAGGTAATTCTTCTAGAGTACTAAGAACCTAAAAAGTTCAGAGTAATTAAAGGAAGTAAATCTAAAAAGGCTGACTCTAAAATATAAAAAAGAATTCCTCCTTTAGTCCTAGCTTTAACAAGCCAATTAGCATAACGGTTAACCTCTTTTAAGACATGGTTAAACCTAATAAAATGAATACATTTAATCAAACTTTTAATCTTGCTAATTATATGAAACAAAGGATAATTATAACTAGGTAATTTTACAAACAGAAAAATAGCTTCTAAAGAATCACATTCAATCCAAATCAACTGAATATTCTATTATACAACTAGTTTGAGCCCCAATAAACTCTCCAGTGCTTGGTAGTAAGGGGAGAACAAGGATCCAGGGCCATATAGAAAACCAACTAAGAACCTCCCTTGCTGTCCTAAATGAGACCTCCATAGCCAACAAAACTAGAAACATGAGACATAACTCCATCCACATTGAGTTTTAGACGAGACTCAAGAGGGGGCTGCCATTTTATTTGAGATTGGGAATCCATCACCCCAAAAACTTGCTGAAACCTGCCACAAAAGAGAAAAAAATCGAATTCATATAAAATTTCATACAACAAGGTTTCAACATTAATGTGTAGGTTTTAAAACAAAGGAAGATTCTTGTTTTTCCATAACTTCCACATCACTATTCCAAATAACACATTCTAGTGAGGATACCTTTGAAAATTTTGAGTATCCAAATTATATTCCAGCCACTTATGCAGACCTTTACTAAAGAAAGGGACCCAGTTATCAGGTAACACGAGAGCTCCAAATCTTTTGGGCAAACCAGCAATTCCTAAGGATGTGAATGACAAATTCAGTATCCTCCCTACATCTAAAGCAATTAGGAGAAGTAGTCATTCCTCTATTACACCTTTCAACATTAGTTAACAACTTACCATAAACAACTTTCCAAAGAAAAATAGAGATCTTAGGAGAGTTTTCCCATTTCCAAATCCTCTTAAAAACATTATTGGTAATTTCCCCACTGTTATCTATATTTGCAATCAAATTATACGCCGATTTGATGGAAAATATGCCATTACTAGAGTGCTTTTAGTAGAAAAGGTCCTGCTCCCTAAACCCTATAGCAAGGGAGATTTGGGAGATGATAGCACAAATATTTGCAGGCAACAAAGACGTAATTTTGGACTAGTCCCAACTGTCTTGAGAAAAATACAAAGCAGCAGGCGCATTATGAAGGTAATCAGGGATAGGTTGAAGAGTATAAGAGAAAATATTTATGGTGACCCTGCACCCAACTATCCTCCCAAAACCTGATAGTTTGACCATCTCCTAAGATCCAACTTAAACCATTATAAAAAGAGGTCAAAACAGACACCAACCCCTTCCACACATGGGACTGATTTTAGCTAGATTTAGAACAAAGGGGTTTGCCTATGGCAAAGTTATACTTCCTACTTAACACCTGAGCCCATAGCTCATGAGGAAAGGTGATGAGTCTCCACCAAAGCTTCATGAAGAAGGCTTGATTAACCATATTGATGTTCCTAAAACTCAGGCCCCCTTATCTTTTGGTTGACAAGTTTTTTGCCAGCTGATTAAATGATATTTCCTAGTGCCTAACGACCCCCATATAAACTTGTTACAGATAGAATCAATTTCCTTGCAAACAGCTTTGGGTAAAATTATGGATTGCATGAAGTAGGTAGATATATTTCTAATACAAGATTGGACTAAAAGGACCCTTCTAGCCATAGATAATGAATTTAATTTCCATAAAGAAATCTTTTTCCTCACCTTATCCACTATAAAAGAGAAATCCTGCTTAGAAGGACTAGTGTGGCTAAGAGGCATGCCTAAGTAATTACTAAAGTGATAGGCCTGACTGAAACCTAAACAAGAGCAAATATCCTGAACTTGAACAGGATCACAGTTTTTAGAGAAAAAAAAATAGAGGATTTTGCTTGGTTAACTGTTAAACTAGAAGCTGCAGAAAAAGTATTAAGAGCATTTCTAACCACTTCAACATTGGCCCTATCAGTTTTAGCAACTAAAGTAATATCATCAGCAAAAAATAGGTGAGAGACCCTAGGACCTTAATTGCTAAACAAGAAAGGGGTCCAACTAGCAGCAGTAACAAGATACTGGATTAAATGCCCCTAAACGCTTCAGGCAAAGAACAAAAATATAGGGAGATATAGGATCTCCCTGTCTAATCCCTATAGAAGATTTAAATTTTCCAGTTGTACTATTATTCTAATTAATAGTCATGGAAGTAAAAGAAATGCACTGATATATAAGATCAGACAAATCATAGTTAAAACTAATTCTTTGTATAGTATCTTTTATGAAGCTTCACCTAAGCTTATCATAAGTCTTTTTTAGATCCAACTTAACAATCATGTACTCATTCCTATTATTCAATCTATTAAAAGAGTGAACAATTTTTTAGAAAATTAATATATTATCAGTCCCTTGCCTACTTATTATAAAACTAGTTTGATTGGGAGATATTAGAAAAAGCATAGTTGCACTCGTTCTCTTAGCTATTAACTTAGTTAGAATTTTATAGCTAATATTATAAAAAAAAATGATCTAAAATTGCTCAAATATTCAGGATTATCCTTCTTATGAATATCATGTTTATTTTATTTTCTGTTTTAAAATTGTGTATCATATAAACAAAAGTTTTAGTTTTCAATTTTTAAATATTAAATAAAATAATCAACTAAAATTAAAGTAAAAAATATACCAAATACATGTGAATCATTTTGGGCCAGCTATTTTGTTCACTAAAGCCTAAGTAATTAAAGTCCCTGTAAAATGAAAGGTGCATGATGTGGCACTCTGCAAACAACATATTGGCTACTTCATTTTACACTAACTTTCATTTTAAAAAAGATAATTAATACATTTCAAGTTTTTATTTTTTTTAGAAAAGGGTGGGGTGCTTGGAAAAGAAATGGCAGAAAAAGAAATTTCCTTAAAAATTTCCCTCTCTTTCACGATTGTTCAAGTGAACGCGCAATGAACAAAAAATAAAAGACGATGAATGTGTCGATGGAATAACGTAACTTCATAAAAATTGGCCTTACGCTGCTTTCACTGCATTACCTCCACCGTTAATACTCTTAAAAGTAAACTTTAAATTAAAAATAAAAAATTATAAATGTAAAAATAAATATTTAAAACAATATAAAATTTACATAGTAATAAAAAAATTTAAATAATAACTTTAATCAGTATCTCTATTAATATTTTATTTTTTAAATAATAGGATTTCATTTACTTTGATTGAATGATTTTTTCTATTATTTATTAATAATGAACAAACTTAATAATGTGTATGTATCATTAAAATATTTGTTAGAAAGTTAAAATAATATAAGAATATTTAATAAAAATATGAAAGAGACATACTTATTTTAAAAAATTGTTAGTAACTTATTTTATTCAATAATTTTTAAAAATATTAAAATTTATTGATAGCTAAATTAATTTTATAAAATTTTATAATTATTATATAAAAATATTAATAACACGCTCTCTAACATATTTTTAATCATTATTAAAATTTATTAAAATTATAAAAATTAAGGACTCTTAATTTAAAAATGTATTAATAACTTTTTTTTATAATTTTTTATATTTTAATGCGTAATATATATATATATATATATTAAAATATAAATAAATATTAATTATAAATATACATTTATTAGTATTTATTTTGCTTAAAATTTCACATATATAATTATAAAAATAACATTACATTATTCAAGAATGAAATTAATAAAATATTGATTAATATTATTGAAGTAGATTGATTAAAAAGAAACATTTGACTGGTAGGTTGATTTAGTCAATCAGATAGGCAGCAAATACGAGTCTCATATTCATTGACTTCCAAAATTCATAATTCAAAATTCCAAATTCCAATGCACCCGTGAACACGTGAATCCGTGAATACTGAATCTGAATCCCCGAACCCATCCAATCACACAAAAACAAACAGAGAAAAACGCGCTTACGACTTTCCATTATTTCTTACATCCTCCTTCAAAGTCAAAATACCAAACCTCACCATTTTTTATTAACACCACAAATACAAATTACTCCTTTAAGGTTACTATTTCAAATTTTCAATTATTTTTATAATTTTTAATTTCTTAACTAATATTCTAAACGCGCTCATTAGTCATACTATTTTTTATGTGTCTCCAATAATATTAAATACAAAATTAATATTTTTAATATATATTTGATAAATTTAAATGTAGATAAATAGTTATTTAATTTTAAAAACTTTACTAAGAAAGAAAATTAATATTTAATAATTATTTCCTCAAATTATAATTCAAACTTGCATTTATTTGTTTAATCACTACTTTTAATTTTTTTTATTAAAAATATGTAATTGATTCATCAAAATTAATAAAAAACAATTACATGGTACTAGAAGTTTATATTATATTTCATAAATACTTATAATAAAAAATATAATTGTTTAATTTTTTATTATATGATTTTACTATTAAAAAAATATTTCTATCTTGTGAGTTAAAAAATATGTTAATAATGATGTTTTTTATAAAAATGACCCAAAAATATGTTTTTAGCTCAGTACTATAATTATAATTAATATTATTCTCATTTTTATTTATTTTTAAGATAAATTAAAAATTGGTCGTATTTATCTGTTTATATATTAGTTTATGATAATATTAATTGTCATTATTTTAAATATAATTTTTATTATATAAATATCTTAAAATATGGTAATTATTATTTTTAATGTTGATTTTAAATAACTAATTTAGAATTTTTTTATAGAAGATTAAAGATGCAAAAGTAAAATAAATAAATTTTTAATATAAAACTCATTATTTTTATGGATTTAAAATTAGTCTAAAAATTGATGTGAACAAAATTAAAAAATTTATATTTAAAAAGTTAATGAGTAAAAAATAAGGATAAATTTAAAAGTTAACAATTAATTATAACAGAGTAATTAAACATTTTGATTGGTATAGTTACTTTTTTTAAATGACTAAATTGAGGTAGTACTTGCCAGCTTTATTATAAAAATATTAATAAGTGTCTTAAAAGTATTAATATAATAAATAATTTTTTAAAATATTAGTTTTGTATGCTTAACATAAATACTATAGACTAATGTTAATATTTTTTTATAAAATTAATTATTAATTAATTTATATGATACAGATTTAATTTTTAAATTTATGCAACATTTTATAAGATAAAAACTATATATAATTAATTTTTATTAAAAATTATAACATTTAATAGTATTAATGTATTTAATTGCAATAAATTATATAATTTTTAATAAAAATTTACCATAAATATTTTTTTATTCTCGAAAAATTGTTTATTTTTTAAAGTAGGGTATTAAATTCAAATTTTGTGTATAATTTTTAATGGGAAAATTAGCCGTCGTATATGTTTGTAGTTTGAAAAATGTTGTTAAGTGAATGAATTTTTTAATGTATTTTAAGGTATATAATAGAAATATTAATATAATGTTTTTTTAAAATTTATAAAATTTAATATAATGGTAACTTTAAATATTATAATTGTAATATAAATTTATTATTTATGACGTGTATTTAAGCTTATATTAAAGCAAATATTAAAAAGAATATGTTATCATAATTTGTAATAATTATTTAGAAAGTAGTGTAGAGCTGTCACATTTTATATAATAAGGCATATGGAGATTGAAAATAGGAAATAATAAATTGAAAGATGATAAAATAAAAGAGAGAAGCGGCTGCTGACAAAGAAAAGGCGTGGGTGGGTGATAGAATCTAGAAACAACCAAACACAAAGTCGGTCCCTAATCCCAATTTCATCTCATTTTCTGTTTCAAATTTCTCATTTTTCTGCTTCTTCTTCTTCTATTGTGACATCAGGTAAAGCTATCTCTCCTCTACTCTCAACTTTGTTATGGGGTTTTTCGATCATTACTCTCATCTTTCCGTTTCTGCATAATCCCTTATCTATTCTCTTTTCCTTTCATCCTCCTTCTACGCAGTTCTTCGATTTCCCATCAATATGATCTGCTTTTATTTACTTTCCACATTATCAACGGTTCTGGATTTTTCTTGTTTATTTAATATTTCGATCAACTGAGATTGAGTTTAATTCTGATGCCATTTTGATCCTGTTGTTATTTTTACCACCTATTAAATTGAATTGACATAATAAACTCGGATTTTTTGGATTCTAGATTACTGATCAGATGAGTGCTGATATTTGGTATGGTGCACTTTATAGCTTTGAAAGGGAGTATACTGCTTTTTTTTTTCCCTTAATTTGTTGCATTGGGTTTTGATTTGTAGAAGGTTGAAAGTAGAGGGATTTGACTCGCTGGAGGCGAAGAGACATGGCTAACAATGCAGCTGCGTGTGCTGAGAGAGCAACTAGTGACATGCTCATTGGTCCGGACTGGGCAATCAACATAGAGTTGTGTGATATCATTAATATGGATCCTGGGTATTGTTCTCTTCTCATGCTTTGTTTCTCACTCATCGATTACTGCTGAAGTCTCTGCCTGTGCTTGGAGAGACAGCGTATGTTTTATGAATACATGATATGATAAGAGTTTGATTTATCAAATCTCGCTAAATGGGTTTATTAGTTGGTCAGTGTTATATGAAAGGGGCTTGTACTATGGTTCAGTTAGTTCATCGGTAATCTTGCATTCCTAAGTGTTCGAATTTCAAGTTTTTGTTTTAGAAAATGAAGAATGCCCTGGTAGTTCTTTTATTCCCCTCCTATATGTTGGTAAATGTTGGGAGGGTAAGTTTTATCTTGCACTGATGCACTCTTGCTTTGCTAAAAGGAGTTCTTTGTTGTTTCGATAGTTTGAAAAATCAAATTACCTGCCCATCATGTTTGACAAAGTCATATTTCACTTGCATTCGTATAGCGTTTATTGTTGTCTTAAGTTTTGACTTGCATCTGTATAGCATTTATTATTGTCTTAACAGCTGGTAGCTAGTTTCTTTCTCTGAATGGGTGTACCATGTGTTTATTTAAATTCTTGAAAAGTTGAGGTATGGAACCACTATTAACATATCACTAATATAACTGACAGTCCCCCTCCCCTAAAAATTTATTTTTTTTATTTTAATTTTTGAAAGATTGTTAAGTTGGAAACTATAGAAAGTTCTTATCATACAGAAGAGAATGGTAGTTTGTCTTAGTTCTGAGAATTAGTTGTATTTTGATGACTTAGTTACACTTTTGGTCCCATTAATTTTGCTAGTGTTGATTTTAGCCTGCTTATGTTTTGTTGCAATAATGTTGCCCCGAGTTTGCAAATTTATACAACTGAGTCACCTTTTGTCATTTTGCTATTGATGTGGCACTTTTTCTGACATGATATTGTGCCACATTATTAGTTTGCAAAAAATGTGTAACTTCAGTATCGTGTGAACCATGTCGACAGTAGCCAAGGAATTCAATTGAATCAATTTGAAAGGACAGGAGGACTAAAACAAAAATTTGATGAAAATAGGTAGACCAGAAGTGAAATTAAGCCACCGTTGAGTTTGATTTTCCTTTTTAGTTTTGGATCTCAAGTATGTAGTTAATTCTGTTTATCCTTATTTTAATTTTTCTTGTGGGTATTCCTTAATTAAATTATTCTGATCTCTGTTATGATTAATTAAATTTTCAGGCAAGCAAAGGATGCATTAAAGATACTTAAAAAGCGTTTGGGCAGTAAAAATCCAAAAATACAGCTTCTGGCTCTTTTTGTTAGTATATACGCTCTTTTACTTTTGAATAGTAGTTGAATATTTCATGTACTTGGATATAATATGTTAAATAAGTGCTATTAATTATTACTTTTTTTTGGTACATATTTCAATGGTAAATCCATGTGAAAGTCCTCATAGTCATAATTTCCAATTCTGCTTGGTTAAATGACATTTATTATCCATAGATTTGTGCAGATTGTAAGAAAAAGCTGTGATTACCTGACGGGGGTGCTTTGCATTTGATGCAGGTACTGGAGACCCTTAGTAAAAATTGTGGTGAAAGTGTATTTCAGCAGATCGTGGAGCGGGACATCTTACATGAAATGGTTAAGATAGTGAAGAAGAAGGTAATTGTTGGTTTTTGACACTGGATATTTCTCTTTCACCTGGCCCTTCTGCAACTGTATTTTGGACGTGGAACTTTCTTATCCAGTGGTGCCTTCTTTTAATCTAATTGTACAGCCAGACTTAAATGTGAGGGAAAAGATACTGATTTTAATTGATACATGGCAAGAAGCTTTTGGGGGCCCAACTGGAGTTTATCCTCAATACTATGCAGCGTATAATGAATTAAAGGTGAGCTCTTGTGCATGTAGATATTACTTTCTGAAATTAATTTATACTTTTCAAGCAATAATTGTACTGTTAAATGATATGCATGAAGATTTCTATTGGCGTACATTTGTATGTGATAAATTTAAAATGTTTTCTTACCAGTCCTGTTAATTTTTTCTGCCTGTCTGTGCCCCAGTATTGTAGTGTTTGCATTAATCAGGACAAAGTTTGCCTGTGGTCATTAATTTTTTTTTCCCTGGTATTTTTAATAAATTGGTTAAATTGTTGCACAAGCTGCATGCAACTATGTGCTTGCATTATTGACTTTTGGTTACCAATCTTGGAAATCCTACCACCTTTGAACACGCACACACAAGTAATTATATCAAAACTTGCTGTTCTAATATACCATTGCGCACACATAGTATATCAAACTTACTGTTCTAAACTAATATATCATTAAGTGGTTGCTTTTGGCTTAGAGCTAAAACATCGATATTTTGTTTTCTAATTTATTATTTTTCAATAATTAACAGTCTGCTGGAGTTGAATTTCCGCCACGAGATGAGAATAGTGTGCCATTCTTCACTCCTCCTCAAACTCAGCCAATTGTTCATTCTGCTGAAGAATATGATGATGCTAGTGCTACTATTCAGGCTTCTCTTCAGTCAGATGTATCTGGTCTTAGGTCAGTTAGGTGCTCTTTGAACTTCATCACATTCTTAATGTTCTGACCCTCATTTTTGTTGTTTGGGGCTAAAAGTGTTATTATATATTTCACACTGAGAATTTATCAGGGTCTTTATCTTGATAATAAATCCTGTAAATTGTTTTTTAGAATTTTAATTTACACATTTTTATGCAAGCTTCCTGCTTTCTAACAAGTTGCTATAACTTGGATGTATAGTTTAAAGTAGTTTTCTGCTGGTAAGAATTCTGCGCAATTCCTAGTGCAATGAATTTCAAACTTTGAAAAACTGATAAAAAATATTAAGTTGACAAGTTATTTAATAAGTTGTTCATAGCTACCCAATCAATGTCATCGACTCGGTCACTCACACAAAAACTATTAATGATGATGCTGAATGACTGCTATATTGCAACATTTTGTTTTCATGTGACCATTGCTGCCTCTGATACCTTTGCTTGTAATTTTGTTATTATGCCATGTATAATTCTATTTTAATTATTACAATGTAAGTTGTAATAGATGGCTTAGTATCGGCTGTAAATAGGGAGAAATTAATCTTGCCTTTAGAATTTTATCAAACATTGTTTACAATTATATGGCAATACTTGCATATTTTTTATTTGTTTTTAAGTTTTTGTGCCCAGTTAAATCTGGAGCATAGTTATTGATTTAAAAAAATCATAGAATTGGAATTCCTAATTTTGTGTTAGCATGCATGTGTGTATATTTTATTATGGTTTTATAATTTTGTATAAGCATGCTTTTATTCTAAGAAGTTAATTGTGCTTTTGTGCAAGTGTTTGTGCATGTTTGGTTTCTCATTGAAATACAAAATCACATATATTTCATTATAACTTGATTTTACACAATATTTGAAGTTTGGTTGCTTTGGACCAAAATTGATTTTGACTTTAAATTTACGTTAAGAGTCAATATGATAAATTGTAACTTTTGTATTGAGTTGAAGTGTTTTACTAGAAACTTTCTAGATAAAATTACCTAAATATTTAACATGACTTTTAAACAAAATTAGTTCTACCAAATCAAGTTTGCAAATGCTCACCTGAACACACATTTTGTGTTTTCTTAATCCCTCTCTTAACTGGATTTGCTTATAATCAGTTTGCCAGAGATACAAAATGCTCAAGGACTAGCTGATGTATTGATGGAAATGCTTAGTGCCTTGAATCCTAAAGATCCTGAGGTGATATTATTATTATTATTATTATTTTTGTTGTTCCTTTTCTGCCAGCTTTATTCTGGAACCTCTATTCATTTTTTCTTGCTTGGGGAAATAAAATTTAGCACCTCTAAAGTGAGTGATTTCCTTTTGAGTGGGAAGTAAGAAATCTCAACCATTAATGAGTAATCAAGGGAGTAGATTTTAACAAATTCATGATTTCTTATGCATGTTCATGTAGAATCAACCTTGGACTCTTGTTTAGCAATTTCTGATGTCTGAATAGACATTTTATTTAGCTGAGCTATGAGAGTAGCTGACCTTGAAATGTTTGGGGCTGTAGAGTCCAAACATGATCAGATCTTTGAAAACCTTCCTTGCAAGTGCAGAACTAAGATATAATTCAAGCTTAATGCTTTTGCTTACTGTGATATTAATTTTTTAGTTCAGCTCAAAATTGTCATGTTAAGTTGTCTTGTCAATATTCATTTGTTTCTTAACATTCTGAACAAAATATCAGGGTGTCAAGGAGGAAGTAATTATTGACCTTGTTGACCAGTGCCGGTCATACCAAAAGCGTGTCATGCTTCTTGTGAACAATACTTCGTAAGTTTTATTTATCTTTTAGGATCAAGTCTGTTGTTTGTGCATGCAATTAAGAAGAATGGTTTTAATGGTTACTTGACTTGTTTCAGGGATGAGCAGCTTTTAAGTCAGGGATTGGCACTGAATGACAGCCTTCAGCGAGTACTTCGTCGACATGATGATATTGTGAAAGGAACCACTGATTCAGGTGCAAGGGAAGTGGAAACTTCAGTTCTGCCACTTGTAAATGTAAACCACGAAGATGATGAGTCAGAAGATGATTTTGCTCAACTAGCCCATAGGTTAACCCCTGAAGTTCTTGCATTATATTGAATCCTGTTGATAGTTACTTCATGTTTCTTGGTGGGAACAAGGGGACAATTATTTGATAATTGATACCCTTTATAGTTGATATAAGTCCATTATTACCCTGTAACTAGGAAAATAAATCCTCTATTTCCCCTCTCATTTTTTCTTTCTTTTCAGTTTCATAATTGTAATGAACATTTAAATATCATAATTTCAGGTCATCACGTGATACACATGCACAGAATCGGAAACCAGCCTATGACAAGGCAGAACCAGCAAGGATAAACCCACTTATTCCCCCACCACCAGCATCAAGGAGGCCAGTCTACTCTGGCACTGACATGGTTGACTATCTTAGTGGTGATGCATATAGGGCAGAAGGATCCCCTGATAAAGAACCTGCTTCATTTGCAGCACCCGTTCATTCTAGCTCTAATTCTACCTCATCAACTATTCCCACACAGTCTTCGTCCCATCCTCATGGCATGAGTACCTCACCACCAAATTTTAGCAGACAACCAGTGTATGATGAACCTTCTTCAATTGACAAATCTTCTGAGCGTCAGCCTCCAGCCCCGTGGGACACACAATCGCCTGCCATACTTCCGCCACCACCTTCTAAGTATAACCAGAGGCAACAATTTTTTGAGCAACAAGGTGTAACTCACCCAAGTAGTGGATCCAGTCCCACTTATGACAACTTGGCGGGACAAACACAAAATCTTTCTCTGAATTCATCCAGCCCAACCAATCAACAGAAGCCAGAAGATGCACTTTTCAAAGATCTTGTTGATTTTGCAAAATCTAAAACCTCATCATCTTCCAAACCCAATAGGTCATATTGATATATATATCGTGTTTGTATTGCATATGCTGGTATTGCTTATATATGTTGTTTATCAGCTTCAGATCACGGAGAGGACCATTTTGTGGTTTCGGAACCTTCAGATAACCGATTGACCATGCGTGTACTTACATATATTGCTTATATTGATGTATATGGGTCGTATTGAATTTGTTGGCTTATGTTTTCAATAATATCAGATTTTTTTGAGCGTCAGAATTTCTTCAATTTCGCTAGTTCCGAAAAGGGTGTGGTGTATATTCCATGGGCAATTTTAAGCACGTGGCATATAACTCCATGGTCCAGTGGCTCAGTCCCTAGTTGATGATCAACAGATTTGAGGGAATATTCAAACCCAAAGGATACAACGTGGATATTGGCAACAATTTGTCCCCGTTGACTATCAAAGTAGGATGATGCTTTTATTATAGTCTGGTTCCTTACCCAGAAAATTAAGAAAAGTTGCATAGAAATTGTAGCAGGAGGACATAATCTAGGCGCAATTTTAAAGTTCTTTAGTATTATTATTTTTAATTAAAAATAAATTTTCATTTTAGTAATTTGTGTAATAACGATAATAAAATTTTAGTTTTACTCAATTTTTAGGTAAAATTTGAATTTTAATTAACAAATAATATCAAAAGGACTTGAAAGTCTGCACTTACAGTGTTTTTTAAATTATAGGATTATCTTTGGTCATTATGAAAGATGCCACTAGATCCTGCAGATCTGTGATAAGGAGTATGACGCAGGGTGCTACGTTTGGACTAAATAACATAAATTTGCTTCATGGATGAACTGATTCATTATTGACGGGGCCAAAATAATAATTATTTTTTTAAATCATGGAGGAAATTATTTGTTTGCTAAAATATTTTTCGTTTGTTCAAATGAACAAGGTACCTGTCTCGTACCTTTCCATGGCTCATCGTCAATTTCATAACAACCAAATGTTTTTCAATATAACACAATCTTGGCCTTGGGAGTAGAGGAACCTTCGCACAACATTCAAAGTGCAACTTCTTTGTCCGTTTTGGTGCATACGTTCAAGCTTAAATACGAGCGCGCTAGCCCCTACGGATAACGTTAAGCTAATGTACTATTTCCATTTTAATTTCATCAATTTCCCGTCAAGAAGAAATTGGAATATATGATAGTGGGAAAGGATCCTCGTTTAATATTTTAAATAGTATATAGTAAATCAAAGTAGATGAAAATCTATTTACTTTCGTTACAGGCTCTACGTGACATGAGTGATGATAAAGCTCATATGATTATGCTATACTATATTTGCCACTAAAAAATTAGCAACGGCATACAATAAAAAGGTTAATGAATAGTACATCTAATCTAATTCGAAATACACTAAAACAGGAAATAACTTTATTTAATAAGTAAGAGCAATATTACATGTTCCATGATAAACCGTTACGGTCAGAAGACACACACAAGAGGTATAAATAGTATATATATACTACTATGTACGTATATAGTACATCATGGCTAATGGATTATGTATGACACATTAATTAGTAGAAATCATTTTTAAAATTCATAAACAAAGAGAGTGATTAACTTGAGCTGACCAGGAAACGAAGGATGCGCTGGCTGAATGTGTGCTTTATCTTTCCACACATGAATATGAATATTTTCCTTTTGATACTTCCTCTATTTGGAGGGAATGAGTTTTTTTTGTTGCTCTTGTATACATCTGATCTAGTTCGATGCACCGATTCCATTCCCGTTTTCTTTTTCATGAGAATATAAGAATGGCTTGATTTTATGGAATAGTGAGAGAGTGGTTTAGCAAGTGAAGTGGTAAGTGATGCATTCATATAAATGAACACAAGATGTTGTGAATGAACTATAAAGTTAGAATAGGAACCTTCGTGGTTCGTGCCATCCCTTAGGTTTTGCTATTAATTCATATAAGCAGCCGATAATAGCTAGGTTCATGCAACCGCAACTTTTTTTCGTACCAACTTAATTTACTGCTTGTGGGGTTCTTATCCATGCACAAAAAGTACACTCTAACTTGCATTTTATTCTTCTGCATTGTTTATATCGTCAAGTTCAGCAAAGTTAAGCGTGAGTTGAGAGTAATATAGTAATATTATGGTCACTGCCACTACAGTTTCTTTTGTTTTTTATTTTTACTTTTTATCTGTGGGTGGGTACTACAATCAAATTGTGCTTAATGATTTATAATTACCAGTTGAATGAATATCTAGGCAGTTTGATTCTGATTTTGTTATGGATATTTAATTTGTTGAGATGGATGCAAGTTTTTGCTATAACTCTAATATTAGGATTTGATTTATTTGAAGAAAAAAATTACTTCAAAGAAAAAAAAATGTAAGAAGTTATACCTATCAACAAATAAATCAAGAGAATATATTTGAACAAATTCATATATATATATATATATATAATGGATTTATACATGCATGATTTTATATCATAATTTTAAGATTGTTTAAAAAATGAATAACGATATTACATCTCATCTGTTTTAGAATGAATCTTCCATTTTCTACGACTTAAATTCTTTTAACATCATTATTTCTTCAAATATGTCATTAGTTATATATATAATCATATTTCTGAAATGTTTAACTCAATAATTCATTTTTAGTATATATTCATGGCCTTAATTGACCCCTTTGTTGATTAACTAGGTGTGCCAGTACCCTTAGTTGATTTTATAAACTTGAGTCCTTACTTATAAATGAGAATATTTTTATATATATTTTAAATTTTTTTATTTGATTTAAAATTTAAATATTAATATACTATACTAATTGGAATATATCTTTCTTTTTGTATAAAATAAAATTTAAAATTATTTTAACCTTAATCAATTAGTAAATTTAGGAAAATATTATTGAAATAATCCTAATTTATAGTTGAAAGAATGCTAGTAATACATTCTCTAATACATTATTCTTTTCAACATATTTCTAGTTAATTACAAGTAAATATGTGGAAATTTTCAGGTGACCATAGAAAATAATTTATTCTTTCTAGCATATGCAAAAGATTAATCTTATGAAAATAGTTATTTATTTTAATTAATATATTTTAAAAAAATTAAACCAAACACACATCAAATTATAAATACTCTTAAAGCTTTTGTTTTAATACGATGAAACATTACTCCTATAAAAAAAATATTGTAAGCGCTTTTCTTTCTTGTTTCTATCCTTGGAATATATTTGGCTTCAGAAATGTGTATGACAAAATTTTAGAGAAATTTTAATTTGAATTTCTTATATTATTGCCATCAAATTTACAAATCAGTCCGTAGTAAAATCTATTTTGTGAGACACTTTTATTATAAGAGAAGAAAATTTTATATAAAAAAAAAATATTGCAAGTTATGATCAATGTATGAATATTTTTTTTCTCAACTAACTTTTGCAAAAGTTAGTGTGCATCTGTTATTTTAACTTGTAAAAAACATTTAATTCATCTTACTTCTTTAATTTATTTTTCTATAAATACTTGTTAAAAAATTATTTAAAGTGAATCAAACTTAATTTAGTCTTGTCCAAAAATATTATCAATTGGTCGAATAGAATCACTGAACCCAAAACATTTCAAGGGCTACACTATCATTCTTCTAGCCTAATGGTGGGCATATGACAAAAGAAGCAACACAGACATGTCACTTTACAGATTAGAAGTAGTCATAGAAGTCATAAAGCAAAATACTTTGGCTGTGCAAGACATCTGCTTTTGTGCATTACATTTTCCTTTTGGTTTTGGGTGTTCCCAAATATTAATAGTTTCTTTTTTGGGATTAGTTCATTTCCAAGCTGAATTTTGCTTTGTCTAAGCCCCCTGAAATTCGGAGCTATGGGAGGAATTGGGATAGAAACAAATAATCCAAGTTATTAACATATTTTAAAGAAGAAAAGCAAAAAGAGCTTGGAAGATGGACTTTGGACTCCGCCACTTTTCATGAGGACAATCTCTGCTTATTGACCCTTGAAACTGATCCACTTGTTTTCCCTGAAGATGGAAGAAACATTATTATAAAAGAAAAATTATAAATGTTATGAATGTGTTTGCATGAAAGAACTTATGAGTTAGTTAAATTTAGTGAAGATAAACTTCTCCACAAATACTTTAAAAAAATCAAAATTTTTCCATTACTTAAAATCAAGTTATATGTACTTTTAACTTTTGGAGAAATGAAATGACAAAGTTTCTCAAAAAGTTAAAATACATATATTGATTTTAACTTAGGACAGAAATTTGATAAGTTTACCTTTTTATTTATTTTTTCTTTTAAGTACTTGTTGAGAAAATAATGCAAACTGAGTCTTATTCAATTTCTTTTTGAGTCCTTCAATCTTTTCTCCAAACATGAATTGTTATGAGCAAGGCATCAGATATTTCTTCTTTTTATAATCTATTGGAATTTTGATGATAACAAATTCGTGTTCAGTTAGGAGACCAAAATGATATTAAGCTAATCATTCTTCATTTAAACAATTCTTAATATTACCTCCATGGCATCCTTGAGAGGTCCCCAACATTCCATTCTGTTGTACTTTTTTGAGCTAGAATGAAAATATACTCTAACTATAGAATCCAGCAATTCGGGATGCTCATGGAAAAGTCCAGAATCTCCACATTGAATTGCTTTGAGTACCTGGCATACTCAAGTCAAGAACCAAACCATGTGTTAACATTTAGGCATGATACTACCAAAACTTTTTTCCTTTTAAAAAACATGGCTTAGAAAAATGAGAGACTCATCCTTGCTATTAACAATACGATAACATAGTACAAAGATATAGGTTTGATCTTAAGGAAACAAAACCTCCTAAAAAATTCACTAATTATCTTCAATTGGAGCAACAATTTGTGCATATACCAGATAGAACACAAGTTGCACTTGTAGAAGTGAAAATTTAGGAGAACCCAAATTATTTTCCCATATCATTTAATGTAAACCTCCTTTATAAGCTTTTATATTCATCTTGAGCAATGGCAAAATACTCGAGTACATTTTTTGGGGAGGTTGTCATGTATAATACTTAAGTCCTAGAATTCAGATTTTTCTGTATTGATAGGATCTAGAGTTTGTTAACTTCAGTTTTGAGGATTGAGTTTGAGTACTCAAAAATAGAAAGATTTTATTGAGAAAGAACACATTTATTTTATTGAAGTTATAAAAGTGTGACAAATGTATTTTCTTAAAGATAAAACTTGCTACTTTTAGGTGCTTAATCTTAGCCTTAATAAGGGCTGAGGCTAACATTTTTCATAAATTAAATGCAAACATACCAAAGGCATTTCCTTGGAGAATATGTGATATCTAAATTCAGCGGCCAGATCCAGGAAGGAATTGGGACCACTGACAAAGCAATGAACATGAAGACACATTTCATTTTTCACTTTCTTCCATTCAGCTACAACATCATCCTTCTCATACCACCCTCTCAACTGCCAGTCACAGAAAGAATGATAGACATAAAATATGTATTGATTAACATAATTAATGTTCTTGTTCAAAATATGCATTAGCCACAAGCATGCAAAAGAAAAAATACAAACCTGCTCTAGGTTGATCACATTGGACACAGCTAAAGTCAGATTAGCTGTTAAGTCACAATGGGATAGGATGTAGGTTCTCGGAATAATATTTGCATATTTGTTTATCTGATCTTCCAATAGAACAACCTTCAGTTTTGAAGCTTCAAATCTTGCTGGAGGACCCAAGAGCCTAACAGCCTAAAATGAAAAAAATTCTTATACAAGGGATATCAATGATACTCATTACACATCAAATAATAATTTTTTGTATGCTATATGAAACAAAGAGATCCAAAGTTATAAGCTCAAATTGAATCCAAGCGAGAGTAGGAAGGTATTTGGTGTTCTCTTCATTCCAGATAACAATCTGATTACCATGAACCATCATCTGGATGGATCTCAAATTGCAAGGAATTATCTCATGAAGCATATTGGTTTTGTGCATGAATCAAGATAAGAAATCTTAATTTTGCAAATTAGAACTGGAAGCCAGAAGTCAGATCACACATTGAAGCTGTTTATCCATAAGTCATTGATAACTATGATACAGCCAATAGTCAAAGAATGCAATTGCAATAGGCCAACAAAGGTCAAAATATTTGACAGGTATAATATTAATATCCCTACAGATCAGGTAGTGAAACACAGGAAGCACAATTCTGTCTACACATCTAACATATGATTAATAGAGGATTGAAATAAATGAATCATCTCAGGAAATGTGGACTTGCATCTGGGCTAAGAATTTCAATTTCTCACTTCATTATTAGAAAGGGCAAAAAACAATGCTGAGTCTTGGGAGTTGACTTCAGGATTGCATTTTCCCTTTCGCTACAAAATAATTGTTGCCAGAGGAGTTTTAGATTATTTCAAATTATTTGTCATTTTAGAAAACCAAGAAGGTAATAATTACTTAGAGGGGTAAGTGGAATGAGAGCATTAATGTGATGAGAATGTAATATAGTCAAATGAACTTAGCATTCCATGAAATTGAGAGTAGTTCATGATTAACCCTTGTCCATAATCTTAAGGTGACTATTATGTATTTATGATAGCCTCAGGAACCAGCAAGCAGAGTTATTATCTAGAAGAAGTCAATGTGGTACGAAGCAATTCTTTTCCACTTCTGAAAACAGGACAGATCATTATATTTAGGGCTAGATTTTTTCCAATACGGGCTCTAAGGGAATAAAAGGGAAAGATCTACCATATCCAGAGTTTTATAAATCTGACATCAGATTCAGAGCAAGGCTATGTCATATCACCGACTATAAAAGCTTGAACCGTATATGCTAATATTTTATGCAACATTTGAGCTGCATATTTCCTTCCATATATTCTTGGCATATGCAATTTATGGATAAGCATATGCTATGACCTGTATATGCACGTTACATGACATTATGAACCATTAAAATTTCAATGTTACATTGTATGCTAAAGTAGCATTAAGAGACTAGAAGAAGAAACAATAAACACTCCTTTCTGGCATGATATACAATTGTACAACAATAATAGATAGATATCATAGGACGTGTGTGCTTGAGCGTTTTTTGCATTTAAAACAAGTAAATTCAAGACCTTAAGAGCTTACAAACTAGTCACATTAAACAAGTAAATATGCATAACAAAAAATCAACAATTTCCCTCACAGTAGCCATTAAAAATAAAAAAATTAGCAGATAACGTTGAATGTATGATAATGGTAGGCCAAATAAAACTGAGAGACATAGAAGGGGCACCTCATAAACAAGTGTGTTGTAGGATGGTGTTGCATTAGTCATGGAGGACAAGAGAAAGGGTCTACATCTAGAGGATGGTTTTGAAATGGTGTGGTTTGTGGTGAAAAATTCTCTATTTGGTGAAAATGAAAAGGCATTGTAAGCACAATGACATGCCATTGAAGATGCATAACACAGTGCTCCTCTTCATGTTTCACAGGCCACCATTGTCTTCTTCTCAAGGATTACACTGTTAATAAGGAAGAATAGCGATGGAGAGGGAAAGAGAAAGTAAAGCGATGTGAGAAAATTGGTGTTGTTGGTTTGGTTCGTTCATGTGGACACTGATTCAGACCCCACACTCTAAAATCTCTGTCAATCCATTTCTTCCACACAATTTCTTTATTATTTTGAATAAATTATAGAAAATAGAAATCGAAAATTATATAGTATTATTATATATAAACACGTTAGATTTGAGAATGGAATTGAACGTTGTGCCACGCCATCAAGCAGCTCAAATTTTCGATAACATATGGATAATGTAATGACGTGTCTTTAGTTGGGTCAACAATTCGTTCTGAAGCGAATCTCGACCCTGCTTGCTTCTGCTTTAGGCCTTCAACTTCCTCTTCTTTTTAAAGCCCCAATATCTATCAAATAAATATATTTATTTTCTTTGAGATATGTTTGGAAGATTGTTTTTAGAAGAGAATTAAATTTTAATTAAAAAGAATACATTATATATGATAATATATGTATGATTAATATATATTAATTTATATATTTTGTTTTAAAAAATATTCATTTTAAATAAAAAATTTGTCTTAAAAAAATGTGTAAAATGAGAAAGGGAGAATTACTACCATATATATAAAGTGAGAATTTTACAAATTATTTTAAACAAAATATGTTGAATGCATACTTGATTGATGTAAAATTTTACCATCTTTCATTTTTTTTTCTAAACCGCAAAATTCTCAATAGTTACCTTTGGCTAAGGAGCATATATTCAATTCTTTTTTTTTATTTTATACCAAAAACATCTCTCAACCAATGATTAAAGATTAATCCCTTTTAAGATCCAAGCATTAAAATGGGTGCAACTCAGTTAAAAATCTCGACGCCTACTTGGTGTGAGAAAATATTTTCTCCTTTTATTTTAAGTTTTTTTAATATTAAAACTTTTACTTTTTTACTCTATTTTTTATCGTTGAATTTTGTAATAGTACAAAAAAAGGTAATTTCATCATTTTTATATAAATATTTCAAAAAAAGGGTGAAATATGTAATTAAAAATACTATATTTTTATATATTATTTCTAAAAATCGTATATGAAAAACTAATCCACAAATTCATCCCTTTAAAAATTAAACATGTTTAACTGTATCACAAACCTGTATTACGTGGCTCATAGAAGAAGAGGCTCACTCACCGAAATATATACCCTCAATTATTTATTTGGTTTAAATTTTATATATATGGTATTTTTGTAAAAATAAGAAAAATATGAAGTTCAAAAGATGTCGTTAACAATTTTTAATGTAAATACTGACATATCAACAAAAAGTTATAAATTTTAAAAATTATTAGTAATGTTTTTTTAAAAAAATTTAAAAAGAATAAAAAGTCAAAACTCACTAATAATAATTTTTTTAAAAATAATAATAATAAATAATCGTTGATGATAATTTTTTAAAAAAATAATAAAATGATTTTGATGATTTTTGAAAAAAAATTGTATTTTTTAATTTTATAAAAACACCATATTTTAATAATTTTTTTATATAAAAAAATCCCACGTATTTGAATGTTTTTAAATATTAAAATATTGTGTCGTATTATGATTAGTTTTTTTTTTTCATCTTTCTTTTTTCCTCTTCATATTAACTGATATAACTTTTTTTTTTCTTTCTCGAAGCAAAATATTGTTTTGTTCTTGTTACTCGATCAAACTCAGTTAGTTAACTTTTTCCTGTCAACTCCATCTAATATAGAAAAAACATTTGCTACATCTGAGAGTTACTTGAATTTGGGAACTTGGACTATTTAATAACTTAAACTTAATTCTATCAAAGAATAATGTTATATTCTTTTACTAACTCCTCGTATTTATTCTTTTATTACTTTATAAAAAATATTATATGAAAAGTGAATACATTTTTCATACATTAAAAAAAATAAAAAATTCAGAATTTTCTTCAGCTAATAAATTGATAAATAAAATTTAATTAAAAATATTATTAACACACGCTTATCATAAATTTTAATATATTTTATTTGTAATTATTTTCCTAAAAAGATTAGTAAGTAAGACATTTAAAACTATTATATATCAAACTAAAATTTCCCAAACCAAACTAATCTTCGCCTTTACAAAACTACCACTGGCTTGAACGTGAATGTCTTACAGGTCAACCGGTTCTCTTAGTCAAATTAGTTGCGACGAAGTGTTGGGGCAGTGCCAGCTTGATATTTTAGTTACCACACGCTGACAATGTTATTGTTCTCTTCTCCTTCAATCCTTGTCTTACACTAGTCCTACTTCTACTTCCTCTTCCAAATCAGCTTCACCTTCCACTCAAGTATCACTCTCTTTCATCCAAGTTATTTCTCCAACAATAGTATACTTGTAAAACTAAATCCAATGAATACTACAAAGGGAAACTTTGGATAAATCCCTTCTGAAAAGCTAATCCATTTTCAAATGTGCTCCACAGAGGAAGGTGTGGTCTAGGAATCTTAACTGGGTACTAAGGTACAGTTCTATACACTCCCTAGCCTTTCCTTGTTTTGCATTTTGCTTCTTTCCGTTCTAGAGTTGGATCTCAGGACCTTGAATTCGTCTGTTGAGGATCTTGCTTTTCTGAAGACTATGCCAAAAATGCTCATGTGGGTGTCTGTTTTTGAACAAAGGGACTTCAAAGTTGGATGCTTTACCTTACCTGCTTTCCTCCTCAACCATAATCTGCCATTTTATTTATTTTTTTTTTTTTGGGGGGGGGGGGGTTGGTTGGTATTTTCAATTTCTTCATAAGGCCTGTTCTGTGTTGTGCAATTATTGAACTTTGCACTAGATTTGTTCAGTTTTGGTCCAGATAGTGGCACCCTCGGGTGAAATATCTCCTGGTGAAACTGAACAAAATCTTTCTTGATAAAGTTTTGATTTGCTTGGTAAAAGTTGGTCCTTTATTCACGAAAGTTTGATTTATTTTAAAGGAAAAAGAAAAAACACGAGGAAGTGCAGAAGATTACCTTTTTATAATTCTTGAGCACGTTTGGTTGCTGGTGAAAATATCTGTCTCATTTCATGTTCTTTGGCTTCATTATTTGAAACTTTGGACTGTTACTTCGGGTTTATGCTATTACGTACCTTTGTTCCCTTTTTTTCAGTGTTGGGGATGCGAATATTGTTGATCTATGTTTCTTCTCCCTTCTTTCAACTTTCAAATTTGGACATTCAGACAGAACATTTGTTGCCCTTTTGGGTTTTATAATTTTGTTGTACTAATCTATAACACATGAATGTTTTTTCTTTCAATTTATGTAAAGGTGATATGCTGGTTAATTATTTTCCAAGAATTTAAAAAGGAAATATAGCATCAGCATTTAGCTGAGTTACATGATTTGTTTTTAATAATTTGACAATAGTTTGCTCCCTTTATAGGTGCATTTATCTTGAAATAGCAGTAATTAGCAAACATGGCGCTAGGGAAGAATATCCGAGGCGATGGGAGGAAGTTATCAAACTACTGTTCAACTGTCTCTGTAGCGGTGTTTGTTGCATTTTGTTTAGTAGCTGTATGGATTGTAATGTCATCTATTGTTCCAATTCAGAATTCAGTCATTAAGGTATCTGAGGCCATTCATGATGCTAAAAATGTAGCAAGTGAAAATAGTTCCAGGCAATTTGAAGACAGATTAGGTGATATACCCGACGAATCAACACAAGGAGATAGCCAGACTCATAAATCTGAGAGTGATAGTCATCCAGAAAACCAGGATGACCACCATGGAGGAGTTGAAAAAGTGTCTGATAATACAGCTGAAGAAAACATGCAAGAGGTTGTTAGGGAAAACTCAAGTGAAGAGAATGATTTAGAGAAGGGTCCTGGGAATACAGCTGAGGAGGACTATCAAATGAGGCATATCAAGCCAAGCACTGATGAGAAGGAGAAAGAATCAGATGAAAGCTTAAATTCAGAATCTGAAGAAGCAAAAACATTGAATGGTCAAATTAATGATGATGAACTTGGAGAATCAATGGAAACTATAGATGAAAAAAAATCTGAAAAGAGTGTAAATGATAACAAATTAGAGACAGAAAAGCATACAGATGAAGTCACAGAACAAGATGAGATGGTTGGTGAGACTGAGGAGGAGAAAATCAAGAAAAATCTGCATTCAAAGACAACACAAAGTACTGGAGAGAGTAATGCAGAAAGGCATGAAGACAGTGCAGCTTCAAAAGAAGCTTTTATTAATGGTACCCTTTCTGAAACTTTGACTGAAGCTGGCACTGAAAATGGAACATGGTCAACTCAAGCTTCAGAGTCGCAGCATGAGAAGGAATCACAGAAGTCCTTGATTTCTATTGACAGCAAAAACTATGACTGGAAACTTTGTAATACAACTACTGGATCAGAGTACATTCCTTGCCTTGACAATTGGCAAACAATTAAAAGGCTTAAAAGCATAAGGCACTATGAACATCGTGAGAGGCACTGTCCTGATAAAGCTACCACTTGTCTTGTTTCTCTGCCTGAAGGCTATAGAAGCCCAATTAAGTGGCCCAAAAGCAGGGAAATGGTATGCAACACGTAAACTAGATGAAAGCTTTTGACCAAATAATAAAAAACTAGATGAAAGCCAGATGTTGTTACTTAATATTTAAATTCAATATTTTTGTGACTATTGCAGATATGGTACAACAATGCTCCGCACACAAAGCTTGTAGAATATAAGGGTCATCAAAACTGGGTCAAAGTTACCGGTGAATACCTTACTTTTCCTGGTGGGGGAACTCAGTTTAAACATGGAGCTCTTCATTACATTGAATTCATTCAGAAAGTAAGCCTTCCTCAGATTTCTTGTTGCAACTTGCTAGAAGCAGATTCTTAGTGATAGGAAAACAACATGTTTTTAATTTTTTTTATTTGAGGAAGTTATATTGTTTATATTTTTCCTCTTTTCGGCTAAAAACTGTTTCTTTCTTTTTTAATTGCAATCAAGTCTCTTCATAATAATATCTGCAGAAATAACTGAATGTTTTTGAGAAGAAAAAGTAAAAGGGATTTGATGAGATAAAGTTATTGCAAGTACAATTTTATCATTCTTGATTATGGTACTGGTTCAAACATTGTGTAAATGTGTAGTGCATTAAATCTATCTTATTCTTTGGACAACTGGTTGTCATTATTTTCCCTTTTTTTTATTTGGTGTATTTAGAAAACACTTTTCTAATTGGTACATTTTTTTCGTGTATATTTTTATCATCTTAAGACATAGTAGTAATTGTCCTAAATTTTTGAACTGGCCTTCTTCCCAGTAGTCATGCTACGTTTTTATGTTAGCGCCTACGTCATTTAACTTTTCTTGTTCTGCTTTGCCATCACAATTTAAGCTTCTTTGATTCAAAAGTCTACATTGTGGATGAATTTTCTCTGATTTTGTGTTTTCAATTTTTATTTTTATTAAGTCATCTCAGTACCTGTTTTTGAAAATATGTTTCCTTGACCTTCTCCTTGATGCAGTGAATTTAGCAAACTTGTGAATACATTATTTTAACTTCTCATTTGTTTGATATATCTTTCTTCCCTCTAAATGGGTTCTTGTCTAATGATGCAGTCTCTTCCTAAAATTGCATGGGGGAAGAGAAGTCGTGTGGTATTAGATGTTGGATGTGGAGTAGCCAGCTTTGGAGGCTATCTGTTTGAAAAAGATGTTCTAACCATGTCATTTGCTCCTAAAGATGTGCATGAGGCACAGGTGCAATTTGCACTGGAACGTGGAATTCCTGCCACATTGGGTGTCATGGGCACTAAAAGATTGCCCTACCCTGGTTCTGTCTTTGATCTTATCCACTGTGCTCGTTGTAGGGTCCCTTGGCACATAGAAGGTGTGATAAACATTTTGATCAAAATTTCCTTTTTGTCAATATTTTTATTTTCCTACTTATGTTGACTCTTCTGGTAATATTCCATTGGCAAGCTACTCAATATTTTTGGTTTTATAATGCAGGTGGTAGGCTACTCTTAGAGCTTAATCGTGTCTTGCGACCTGGAGGTTATTTTGTATGGTCTGCTACTCCAGTGTACCAAAAGGATCCAGAAGATGTTGAGATTTGGAAAGGTAGAACCATTAAGGCCAAATTCATGTTATTCTCAGAAATGAAATTAAATCTTTATTTTGAACAAACCATTTTGTTGCAGCCATGGGTGAAGTTACAAAGTCAATGTGCTGGGATTTGGTGGTAATTGCAAAGGACAAATTGAATGGAGTGGCAGCAGCGATGTATAGAAAACCAACTGACAATGAATGCTATAACCAAAGATTAAACAATGAGCCGCCAATGTGTGATGGATCTGATGATCCTAATACAGCCTGGTACTTTTTTTTTGGGGCAACATGCATCAATATTAATTTTTAAATATATTTATTTAAAATATAAATTTTGTCTTACCTTTTCCTCCCCTCCAAAACTCCCCTTCTCAAACAACCCCTTAGTTGGACATTATTCCTTTTTGATGAAGTTGCTCTATGATAGAACTGGATCATGACAGAGAAGTAAATAGAGGAAGTATATGAAGAAAAATTATGAAATGTGCATTATTATCAAGCACAACTTTGATAATAAAGCCAGAAACGAATTACAATTGTATTCAAGATATTTGAGAGACCTTGATCTCTCCTTACTCTTTAAGAGTCCAATTCTTTCCAAATGCCATAATGATTCTCTCTCCTATCATCTTTCTTTTAGTACATGTGATATTATATCCTTTCTAACTACCTAAGACCAAATAACTAAATAATTAACTAATAGGTATCTTTCAATTTCCTAATTTTTACTATATGTTCCAAATTCCATATTTCAGGAATATATCACTACAGGCTTGTATGCACAAAGTGCCTACAGATGCATCAGACCGAGGTTCAATCTGGCCTGAGCAATGGCCACTGAGGTTGGAAAAACCACCTTACTGGTTAAACTCTCAGGCTGGTGTTTATGGAAGATCTGCTTCAGTAGAATTCAATGCCGATTACAAGCATTGGAAGAATGTTCTTTACCACTCATATTTGAATGGAATGGGTATCAATTGGTCCTCAGTAAGAAATGTCATGGACATGAGAGCTGTTTATGGAGGGTAAGATATTCTTTATACTTGTGCATATTCCGTGTTCATGTACAGGGGAATTCAGTGGAGATCATTCTCTATTCGAAATGGAAAGGAACGACTTCTGGTTTGTTCTTTGGATGTATTGTAGTCTGGTGGAAAATCATTGTTGTTTATACTTCATCTCATTCTTTTATACCCTAAAAATGTTTCCACTACCAGAGTAGGGTGAGTGGATATTTTACTGTAGTACGGCCCAAAAATTTCATGTGGTGTCTTCCAGAGTGATTATCAATTTTTTCAAGTACACTTCTGTATTTCACTCTTTTCCTGTGTTATTTTTTCTTTGTCCTTTTAGCCCTTTTAATGATAATTGTATTGAATATTTTCTTCTGTGAATTAAATATGCTTTTAGTAATATATCAACTTTGAATAATAATAGACCTTTGTTTTTTTTTTTTTGTTTTTTTGTTTTTTTGCTGAACGCTTTAGAGACTTCATTATCAAGCAATTAATCTTGTTTAGTGTTGTTTTAACTTCTCTCCTTCAGGTTTGCTGCAGCACTCAAAGCCATGAAATTAAATGTTTGGGTAATGAATGTGGTTCCAATTGATTCTCCAGACACGCTGCCAATAATATATGAGCGTGGATTATTCGGTATTTATCACGATTGGTGCGAATCCTTCAATACCTATCCTAGATCTTATGATCTTCTCCATGCTGATTCCTTAATCTCAACACTTAAAGAAAGGTATATATATGTTAACTAATTTTAAAAATTGTCAACAAAGAAATATCCTTAGTCCTAATCCTTCAAATTTATGGATTCAGGTGCAACATAGTGGCAGTGATTGCAGAAGTTGATAGGATCCTGAGACCAGAAGGATATTTGATCATAAGAGACAATGTTGAAACTATTAGTGAGATAGAGAACATGGCAAAATCTCTACACTGGGAAATTCGGTTAACATATTCAAAAGATGGGGAGGGATTGCTTTGCGTTCAGAAGACATTCTGGCGTCCAACAAAGGTTGAAACCATTGTGTCAGCCATTGCCTGATTAGGATTTAGGATGCTCAATTTCACGGTTTTTTATTTGCCACGATTGTATTATTTAAGTGTCACATTTACTACTCTATGTAATATTTGTTTATTTATTTATTATTTTTTAAAGTAAATTTGTGGGTTATTATTCTTTTGACACCCCTAATAGTTTTATTTTAAGGGAAAATTTTAAGGTTATTCTATCTTTGGTTCAATCCCAAAGATTATGATCTTTTGCATCTTTTGTCTGTACTAGTCTTTGAAGCTAGCTAGCTACTGCATGGTTGAGATGGGCAATAAATAAGGTCAAGAGATTTCGTTGTCATTATTCATGTTTTGAACTGTCAGGGCGCTGAAATAATAAAATATGGGGAGAAATGAATTCTTCAACCCTAGATTTTAATCAGTTCGGCTTAGAGGCCAATTTAAGGCCCATCATTTATAATGTTATTATACTTTTTCTATCATATTCCTCAATAAAATCAAGTAACCATCCTTTATAGTTAAGTGATCATAGGAATCAAAACCATTGCATTACTGCAAATGATGCTTTCAACTTATTTTTTTACTAAAAGATTAAAATCTTACTATTGTCCAAAATAAACAAATTCAGTTTCTTATAATTAATTACTTTTATATATTTAAAAGCATGATCTTTTTATATTATTATAAGTTTAAAAATTTGGACACTCAATTTAAGTTTTTTATTTAATTTATATTTAATAAATTATAATTTATTATTTTACTAATCATTATATGTAAGTTAAATAAAAAATTTAAATTAAGTAATTTAACGTAATATTTAAACATTATTAGTAAAATAAAATAAAAAAGTTTAATAATCTAATCTGATTCAATTTACTTTTAATTGAATTGAATTAAATTTACTGATATACTTAAACCAATCAAAAACTAAATTACAACTTATTTTTATGTTTGAGTTAGATGACTTTTTATTTAAAAGTTTTTTTTTTTGTCAGTAAAAAAATATATATGTATTATTAATCAACCAGCACCAAAGGTGCATTACAGCCGTAAATAATATGCAGAATTAATGTACAATAGATCAAACACTAGCTAGGTATTACTACATTAATTCCAGCAAAAAAATCATAATTAATACATCAACCATATATACAAGCACCTAACATATACATCAAGACCCGGACAGCTATGTATATACAATATTCTCATCTGCAACACCAAAATCCATGTTTTTATCTAAAAGCTGATATAAGCAATCACTAATACTCCTAATTGATAAGGAAAACATCTTTCATAATGAACTGTTTATATAAAATGTTTAATTGTTATATGTTTGTGTGTGTATACGTGTAAAAGAAAAACATACAAGCTTGAATTATTTGTTTATTTGTTTATGTACTGTTATAATGTTGTTAAAATTTAGTATATTTTATTTTATAAGGAGCGTTGGACATTTTCTTAATCAATAATCTTTCGATAAAAATAATGTAAGACTTTGTAGAATTTGAGGTCTTCGTTTTCTGTTAATGACAATTGAAAATGATTCTTTTCTTTTCACGAAAGCATGATGTCATGTTTGGTGTCACAAAATAGTCTTTGGGATATTGTTTATGATGGGTATTTGATATAAAACATAAGGAATGGTGCTTGTGTTTAGCCCGCATCCCTACTTGATTCTGTGATCCAACATTAGTCACGATGATCCCATCTTGATTACAGCCATTCTAATGTTATAATGGACTCCCTTTTAATGTGAATTTTAGGTACTCTAATATCTCGTAGATGAGAATTGAGACTTCCGGGGTAATCATAGCGAAGCAATTTGTAAGGTGATTAATTATTGAACTTGTTTCACAAGAGATTATAAAAGCAGTGGAAAAAGGGTTGCTATGGTGCGGCAGACAAAAAAGAGGGCTTAAAAAGAATAGACATGACCCTACCTCTTTGGAGATGGACTTGTATTGTCCCTGTTTCCAATAGGAAGATTTAATTTTGATCATTTAATTGACATGCATTGTCCCATTATCACTCTTTTAATAACATTAAATTATGATAATTATATCATTTAGAGCATAAATTAATTTAGTCTTAAAAAATTTAATATATATGTATGTTAAGAACTTTGGCTCTGTTAATGTTTAATTAAAATCTACAACTGATTATCTGATTAAAATTTAATCAAACTGATTATATTTTTAAATTAACTTTTCAATTTTATGATAATCAATTCTTAGTTCTTACTAACCAATCGAGCCCTCGGAGTTTGAGAAAGTAAAGAACCGAACTAGATGCTATGAAGCTAGCTACTAGGCACTAATATATCCTGAACCACCCAACATATATCACCTGCATTTTTTTATGCATTTGTGAAATATTTTAAATGTGTAGCCCTTAAATAACTACGTGGCCTAGAATGCATTAACTATTAATTAATCAAAGGAATGCAATAACGCTGACCTAATCATAAACAAATATCTCACTGACCCACGGGTGCCATTATCTTCATATGTACTTAATACACTCTTTTGTCGGGAAAACAGAATAGAGTGTCAAGACACTTTTCTTTCTGTGGATACTTATTCTAATGTACCAACTTTTTCCTTAGTTTAGTCAGTTCAATTTTTGAGCTGTACGAAACTACTGAAAATATTGTCCCCCCAAAAAAAGAAAACTGAAAAGGAGTACTCTCCTCACTTTTGCAATTTCAATATTAAAATTTAAGGATACTAATACTAACTACATTTTAGGTTTTGTCTTAGTTAAGCTAGTTTATAAACTACTTCAATGCATTATTTGATAGAAACTTTGAACAAGAGCCTGCCTACAAAGATATATCATTATAAAAGCATAAATGTGTGTTGCTCTAACTGAAACAGATTTGGATACCTTAAAACATAGTTTCTTGAGTTTAATTCAATTGTATTTGGAGAGACTAGTTTCTAATTTATTAACTAAGGAATAATTAGAATAAAGAAAAAGGACAGAGAATTAACTATTAGCATCCAACTAAAAAGAGGTCAAAGTGGTTATTTATATATTCATCGAGTTTCTGATACATGCACACTCATATTCATCTAGTTTATTACACAATGAGAGCAAGGACATGGATTGAGAAAACGGCATAGAATTATTAAATGCCATATTGTCTGCCATTTACGCATCCTTCCCCAACCAAACAAGTTGGCATTCACCTTACATTACTCAACATGTCTGCTATGAGAAGCCCTCTAAAGCTGCTCCTTTTTAAGCCAAAGGAAAGGTCTATGCACTTCCTGAGTCTGAGTAACAATAGCACTCACCATCACCATCATCATCATCATGTTGTCAAGTTCTTGGAGGCACCAGTTCTTGTTCTTGACTATGCTTGCTTTTGTCGTTCTATCAGAAGGGTCAAGATTGCACAAGGATTACTGGGAACAGATGCTTCCCAAGAAGCTACCTTCTCCTACCTCTTCTCCCTCTGGAGGCACAAACTCTGTGTTTGCCACGTCTTCCACAGCCTCCAAAACTGATCATGCTCTTCCTTCATCAGATGGAAAGGTCTAAAGTTAATCAAATTTCTAGTATTGTAGTTCCTCTCTACTGTGAAAGAGTGCAGTCTTGACACAGTGCTGGTTTGAAGAAAGCATCCAAATTTTGTAAAGAATCACACTCGTAGATTTATTGATCTGGGTATGACGATAGTCTTTTGTAAAGACAATTAATTAAGTCACAACTCCTTAGTGAACTGGATAAGTTTATCGGTGAAAATAATTTAGCATGAATATTAACAGGATTATATTATATGTAAAATCTCTTGATAAGCATTTCAACTCTAAATTCCAGGTTTTTTTGTATTCTGTTTATTTTTTTGTCATTTTGATTTAGGTTTAAACTGTAATGAATTCACTTTATTTTAACGTTAACTTTACTAGTCATAACTTCTGGGTTGGATCTGAGTTTATAGATTTTTTACCGTGTTTCCCAACATCTCAATTTAATTTCTTGATAAACTAGGTAGGTATTATGAATGTAATTCGTGCACATCGGTGAGATGGCATAAAGAAGAGTGTAACAGCTTTTTGTCTCATACGAACTCCAGCCCTTCTCATACAGAAATTCTAAGATAGTACAAATAATATTTACACTCAAATTTCAGTCAACACAGACGTTCTTCAGAAATGAAAGTGTGTTTCAAACATGGCCCAGCAACTTTAAACATGTCAATTGTTGATTTAGTACGTGCTTAGATTTACGTTTGAATGACTAAAAATTCACTTCAACACTACTGGTATAACTTTTACGTTGAATGTAGAAAGTCACACAAATTTTTAGAATAATTTAAAAAAATACTAGTAATAATTTTTAAAAAATTATTTTTATCCAGTTATAAGATAATATTAAAAGTTATAGTTCTAAAATATTATAAATATTATTATAATACTAAATCACCCAAACATAACAATAAATGATACTTATAAATAAACATTGATACCAGATTATAAATGTAAGAAGAGAATGAACTATCAATTTTTATTTCTTGAGTGTCTTACTTAAATTTCAACTATCATTTTTAAATTATTCAATTAATATATTTCAACAATTTTACTCATTACTTGCAAAAAAACAAACCATCAATATATTTGTAAATACATACTTAAACATCTATTGTAGACTGTTCATACGTGGCTACATAAGAATTTATCCTTCATATACTCCTCTGAAGTAGCATTTTTCTCGTTCTTGGTATGTTCATAGAATCATATGTAGTTCGTTATATTTTTTTTGCCTGGATGGTTCCAGATTCATCATTCTTTTACTGTCTGATATGTGCCATAAGTACTTTAAAGCTGAGTTGTGATTTCATTTACGTAAGTTTTTTTTTTTTTCATTTGTCTCTATTTCAAGGGGCAACACCAACTAATGTGGCAACATATTCTGGGAAACTTTTGTGGTCCAGCTTTCAAATTTTGGCTAGAAGGCGCTCCAAGACAAAAAGATATCAATCTTCAGCACATGTGCAATAAGGAACACTCTGTAAAGCACTTGCAACGACATGAAACATGTCTGTTTACTGAGAATGCTTACACGGTTTTCTTCTCTTGTAACGTTCCTGCTTTTTGGTCATATTGCTCTAATGTGAGATTAATTGAATTGTATGTCAATTTATACATTAAAACTTTGATATCACACTGTATATAAGTCTAATTTAGTTAAGTACAAGAGAAACAGAAACGGAAAGACACTGAAGTAACTGTTGAAGAGAACTACACCATAACATGAACAGGTTGCATAGAATGGAAAGCCTAATGAAGAGAATATCAGGAAGTTCATCATTTGAATATGTGGCACCCTCATTGGAAGAACATGGGGGCAACATCATCGCAATTCAGGCTTAGAAGCAATATGCCCCATATCTGACCCGGACCATACCAATATGAAATGGTTTACATTCACTTTCATGACCACGCCCCTCTGCATCTAAAGGGGTTGGCTAACGAACAACTTCTAATAAATACTATCCTCTATGATTACCACGTCTTATAAAACACAATTTCCACATGAAAGATTAATTTGAAAACCAATATCACCTGAAAAACTATTCATTCACTCCCCACAAAATCTTAGCTAAAATTAATTAAACAGAGATACTGATTGTGCAGGATAAGCATCTCACATACCACATAACATTTCATCACAACCATAATATCACAATAATGTATCCAATGCAACAGGGGAACTCAACATACTACACAACCATTATTTTGAAGACAGATTAACATCTATTCCTAGTAAGTATAGACTTATGAATTCTAGTAACATCACAATTAATTGTTGAGTTGTTGAAATAATACATTTTTTGAAAAAAAAGTCATTGCTTAGTTTTGTAAAGGAAGAGAGAGATTAAGGCTTTATATTGACCCCCCAAGTATTTTGTTTCAAGTCATTTCAATCATAAATACTTTAAGCTTACGTCGGACTTTCTTATTTATTTTATATTATTGTATTAATGTACTGTGAAGTGTTTGGATATTTGTTTTGAAAAGTATGAATGTATTGAAGCTGCGAAGTAGTTAGTTAAGAAAAATAGTCTGTCTTGTAAAATTTCAAGTAATATTATTTTTTGGTTTTCATCAGACAACAAATATATATAGCTTTTTCAAATTGAAAATTTCACATTATCTCGTGTTACGATGATGTTATTTTATTTCTTTATTAGAATTACTTAACGAGAATGCAGTGTGTTTCCCAACATTAATTTCAGCTAATCATCTTCCACCATCCAAGGACAACGAAATCTGGTTTATGCTACCAAAGCCAAACTAATGCCTCTTCCACTGCTACCATCAATGCTTTCCATAATTCTTAGTCTCTCGAGTTCCATTGCTACTTCTTTCATGGTGGGTCTTTCCTCTCCCTTCACCTTTAATAAATCAAAATGCCACACTATTTGGATATTTAATGTCTTGAGAAGCATAGCCTAAGAGCCAATGTTAAACGCAACTTGAATTATACCGAAATCGCCTTGGCCCTTGAGTATGTGGGATTAAATTACCAAAGCAATTCATAGCTTGGATTACTGTTGTTCATTTCCAATGAAAACTCTAACAAAGATATTCATCGTAAGAGTAGATTTAGTTTAGAATGTTTATAAATAAAGCATGTTATCATGTTGTAAATATAAAAAAAAAATTATCAATTCTCTGTTTAAAATTTTTCAATTATTATTTTTAACTATTCCAATTAACATATTTAATAATCTTACATCACTAATACTGAAAAAACCAGCCGTTGAGGAGCGAAATGTTGAACATGGGCACACTGTCATTATAATATTTATACAAGAAAGGGGTGTGTTGAAGAGGGTTGGTTGCAAATGATGAAAAATGAACTGTTCACGGGACAACGCTCGGTCATGCCAAATGGGAAAGGGAATGGTGACGAAGCTACATAATTTGTTGGGCAGTTTGGTTTTCCTATGAGTTAAGTTTTTGTTGCTGCCAAAAGGATCACAACAAGGAGCAGCTGCACCAGCTGCTTTGAATGAGAAGTCATGGATCTGTTTTTCAGCTTCATGTGCTCATCCAATTAAATGTCTTCCGCACAAATTTTAATTACAATGCGCATTCATACTTTATAAGAAGCTAAGCAATACATATTTTACATAATTTATAATTTTTTATTACATAAAATTTATGTGGCTTTTGTTAAATAATTAGCATAATACTTTAAACAAGAAAAAAGTATATAAAAAATAAATTACTTTGTAAAATGACGATGGATGTGAATAAGATTTGAGTTTTGCAACCATGCCTCGCAAGATTCGATCATGGTGTGCTTTGTGGCAAGAATTACAATTGAGATCACGGAAGAGGTGACAATGGTGTTGGGAAAGATGCGACTTTTTTTTTGTTACATTTATCTTTGGAAGTGCACGTAAAAAAAAAAAAAGAATAACATACAAATTTAATGTAATTTCACACCTTTTATTTATATTTATAATTTATAATAAATTATTTCATTATCTATAATTTTGACTAAATAAAATTATAATTTTTTTTCTTATACAGCTTTTGCACAAACTTATAATCATTAATCTTCATCTAACACAATTCTCCAAGTCTTCGATATATAATTAAAAGATTAAAATGATTATAGTGAAAAAATTCACATAATAAATTTTTATTTTTATAATATTTTTATCTCTTTTTTTTAACTTTTTTTTTTATAGAAGACTTAGACGAATATAGTCACTTTAGTACAACGTATCTCTTTTGTCTAATCCTCTTTTATCTAAAGCATCACATTTTTTTTTACTTTGTCAGTAATTATTCTTAATTCTGTTACAAATTCTCAATACGTCAATTAACATAATTTTTCTCAATATATTCAATGCATGGAGAGTGAAATCATGTTGAGGCAGTTAATCTGTCTATAAATAGGCAGTGAGGGTATTGGGTGATCCAAACAAGATTGATAGTATTGGATACAGATCGAAATGGCATATTTAGAGAAAATAAGAGAGGCACAGAGGGGTGGAGGCCCAGCCACCATACTAGCCATTGGCACTGCAACTCCATCCAATTGCATTTACCAGTCTGATTTCACCGATTATTACTTCCGAGTCACCAAGAGTGACCACATGACTCAACTCAAGGCCAAGCTCAAGCGCATATGTAAGCTCACTATTCTTCTCTTTCCATTCTTAAATTCATGCATCACCCCCAAAGTACATGCATGCCTTCATGCACACGTTAAACAAAAATACTTGCTACCCTACTAATTTAATTAAGACACCTTTACCTGTCTCATCTACTAATAGAGGGAGATGTAAATTTAAACCATATTTATAAAGTCACATAATTTCTTAAAAAATTGTATCATTTTTATATGATTCACATAATTTAGATGTTTTAATTCTAATCATTAATAATGAAATTAATAATTAAAAGTTTTCTTCCTTGTATAAGTATCAAAAAAATTATCTCACCTCCTCCCCCTCTCTCTCTATATATAAAGGATCAAAAACTATTATAAAAAGAACTCAGCTTTATAGGAAAAAAAATTCTTAATTACTGAATGACTTCTCATGTACATAGTTTTTGTATTAAACTCTTAAATTTTTTATATAAAAAATTAGTTTCTTTCACTGTATAAATTACATAAAAAAATACACAAATAAAATGTTAGTTCCAATTTTATCTCGCATGTAAAGATGAAAGTAAAGCAAGTCGGATTAGGTTTTGTATAAGGAGATATGATATATTTAATAATTTTGAATTTTAAATATGATTCATTATTTAATTTTTTTTATTAAACTTAATTTGACTTTTTAAAAACTTAACTCACCTGTTAATATTTTTAATAATCTGCTTTATATTAAAATATTTAATTAGCTATTAGACCCATTTATAAATAGGTTATAAAATCATATAAATAGGTTTGTATTTAAAAACACCACAAGACTTATAATTAAATAGACTATAAAAAATGATTAAGTACATTTAATACTTATAATAAAATTATATATACTTATTTATTATTTTCAAATTACATATACTCTTTAAATAAATAAATTATTATCAAACATAAAACAAATACAATTAAATGAAATTCAATCTTTAAATTATCAAATAAACTTAGTAGTATAAATTTTTATACTTTAAATCAACAAGTATAAGAATAAAAATTAAAAATAAGGATAAGAAAGAAATAAAGTTTTCAAATTTATAATTTTATTTATTTTAATATTTAATATATTTAATATAATATTATAAAAATATTATAATTAATTATATTTAAATTTTTTTATATATTTTTATAAAATTAATGAATTTTAAATTGGCCAATTATCAAATTTAACAATGTTTTAAACTCAAACTTAACGTATTTAATTAATTAATTTTTTTAGAAAATTTAAATTTAATCTATTATTTAAATAAATTGGGTTAAGGCAGACTTTACACATACAAGCGTAGGCCCATTTCAAATAATTTGACCTACTTCCATCCTACATGTCTTTCTAATAATAAATAAATAAAATAGGAAAAATAATATTAACTTTTTTAGACATGCTATTTTTTATAATTTCATTATTTAGATAAATAAATATAAACATCATATAACAAAATAATATTTATATCTTTCACTTATTTTTATTATTATATATGCATGTATTTTAAAATATAACATAAATACAGAAGAAATTCATAAAATTATCCTCTTCTAACTTCTATTTTTTGTTTACCATGAAATAGTCAATAATGATTAATTGTTAAAGTTGCCTTTACTGGCATAGATTTTATAGTATTAAATAAACATGGTGTTTATAACATAAAATTGTTTAGAAAATTCTCTGTTGACCCCGAGCTTCTTGGCGTGGAGAACAGGTGATAAGTCAATGATAAAGAAACGATACGTGCACTTAACCGAAGAAATCCTGAAAGAAAACCCCAACATAAGCACTTACAGTGAATCATCCTTGGATGCGCGACAAGACATCTTGGTTGAGGAGGTACCAAAGCTGGGAGAGAAGGCAGCATCAAAAGCCATAAAAGAATGGGGAAGACCCAAGTCAGAGATAACTCATTTAATATTTTGTTCAACATCGGGTGTAGACATGCCTGGTGCTGATTATCAACTCATCAAACTCTTAGGCCTCAAACCTTCCACCAAAAGGATCATGCTATACCATCAAGGTTGCTTTGCTGGTGGCACCGTGCTTCGTCTTGCCAAAGACCTTGCTGAGAACAATGCTCATGCACGTGTCCTCGTTGTGTGTTCCGAGATCACTGTTGTCACCTTTCGTGGACCCTCCGAAACGCACTTGGATTCCTTAGTGGGCCAAGCTCTCTTTGGTGATGGTGCTTCATCCGTCATCGTTGGATCTAACCCTGACCCCTCCATCGAACGACCCTCATTTCACCTTGTCTCGGCTTCAGAGACCATTCTACCCCACTCTGAGGGTGCCATTGAGGGACACTTGCGCGAGGTGGGACTCACGTTTCATCTCAAGGACAATGTTCCTCAGTTGATTGGAGAGAACATTGAGAAAAGCCTTGAAGAAACCTTTCACCCGCTTGGAATCAACGATTGGAACTCGTTGTTTTGGATAACCCACCCTGGTGGCCCTGCAATCTTGAAGCAAATTGAAGCGAGTCTTGGGTTGAAGGCAGAGAAACTAAGAGCAACTAAACAGGTTCTGAGTGAGTATGGGAACATGTCGAGTGCATGTGTCCTGTTTATATTGGATGAGATGAGAAGGTGGTCCATGGAAGAAGGGAAAGACACAACTGGTGAGGGACTAAAGTGGGGCGTTTTATATGGGTTTGGCCCTGGCTTGACCATGGAGACCATCGCTTTGCATAGCGCTACCATAGACCACGGCCACTAGCTAGCTGCCACGATAGTGGGAGAATATATACACTTTTAGCGTTTAAACTTAAATAAAGTCATGTATATGCCTACTTGTTTGTGTAAGTATAGGCTGAGAAATGTTGCATCTTGTATTACAAAGTCTGATAGCAAATTATATACAGAACAAAGATAGGAAACACAGAGTAAGAAGATGATGTAATAAAAATAATAATAGGGTTGTAAAATTGTTATAAGAGATTATTGTGTAAAACTGACATTAGTCGTACTGCTTCTTATACAATTTATGATATAATAAAGAAGTTATATATATATATATATATATATATATATATATATAGAGAGAGAGAGAGAGAGAGAGAGAGTTTTTTAAGTTATTTTAATGAATAAATTTATATAATTTATAAAAATATTTTTTAATTTATGTTAATAACTTTTATAGTTAAATTTGTTATATAAGTTCTCATATAAAAGAGTCGTATATCACAAATACAAATTTCACTTTTAAATTTAAAATAAATAGTCGTATACTAATTAACCTTATTTGTGTTAAAAATATAAAAGTTACATTAATTTCATAAATTTGCACTACTAGTATGGTATACATATTTTTAACAAATTCTTAAAAAAAGGCATTTTAAAAACATAATTATTAAGAATTAAAAAATTCACACACAAAACACTCACTGAGTATATTTTTTAAAAAATTAAAATTATAACCTACTAATATATGTTTTTCTAAATATAAACTTGTGAGTATTAATTCATACCGAATTAAGACTCAAGTTGCTTTTTTTTATAAATTTTATGTGATCTAATTTTATAAATTAATTTTTTATAAGAAACAAAAGATTAAGTTAATATAACCAATAAAATAATTAAATTAATTATATTTTTCATAAATAAAAATTTTATTTTAAAAATATTCATTATATTAAAGCTTATAATTAGTGTAATCAATTTTTTTAAATATATATTTAATAATAAAAGAAAAGTATAAAAAATTACCAATTAATATATTTTAAATTTATCTTCTGATTCTTATAATTAGGAAAAAAATACTTTATTTTATTTCTTATAAAAAGTACTATAGGAGTTTTTTTTTAAACATATATGTTGAATACTCAATAAATATTTAATAAATAATTATTATTAATAAAAAATATTAATTAAAATTATTTATATATCAGATATTGAAATATTCTATAAAGTTTTATAAAAAATATGTGTTGTGTATGTTACATTAATTAGATTTAATAAAATGTCTATACATAAATTCACATCTAAAATTTAAAGTTAAAAAGTAAACTAAGAAATTGAAGATATTATAAATTCGATGAAGCATGCATGAAGGATAAAAAGTTAAAAGTAAAAACATGAATAGATGAAATTGAAGAAACTAAAAATTTCATGAAGCAAATGAACGAAAGCAAATTCACTTGAGAAGCCTATTTATAATGATACAAGCATTAATATGGTATTTGATACAGCACATAAACATCAAATAATGAAGTTTTAAGTAAGGATAGGCTTGTCAATTACAATCCATCACAATTTACATCTGCTTATCTATCATCTTCCACTGGGGAAGGTCGTCGAAATCTGGTTTAAGCTATCAACACCAGAACTGATACCACTACTTCCACCAGCGTCATTTTCAACACTTAAAACATACGCTTCTGATTGGAGAGAAATCTCAGTGTCTTCTGAACACATATTGGCACTTTCCCGTTGGTGCATTTCCGCAAATCTCAGTCCCGCAAGTTCCATTGCCACTTCTTTCATGGTGGGTCTTTCTTCTCGTTTCACCTTTAAACACTGTTTTGCAATTTTGGCAAATTCCATCAGTTGGTCAACATTTGCGGTCGCCTCATCAATTATGTGAGGGTCCACAGTGTCAAGTAATCGATCCTCTTTCATGGAAGAAACGAAGAACAGAGCAAGGTTCGTAACACACTCTTGCTTGTGAAAAGCGAGTGCCTTTTTTCCTGTGAGTAGTTCTGCTAGGACAACCCCAAAGCTATAAACATCACTCTTCTCAGTTAAGTGGCTTGTGTGTAAGTATTCAGGGTCAAGATACCCCAACGTTCCTTGCACCAAAGTGGTTAATTGAGTTTGATCTAGAGGAACAATTCTTGAAGCTCCAAAATCAGAAACCTTTGCTGTGAGATTGTGATCAAGTAATATATTTGTAGTTTTCACATCTCTGTGGATGATTGGTTCAGAAGTAGCAGAATGCAAATATGCCAGGGCCTCAGCAGTTTCTGTTGCTATTCTTAATCTAGTTTTCCATGTAAGTTTTAAGGACTGGCTTTGACCATGAAGATGCTCATAAACAGTACCATTGGAAATGAATTCATAAACAAGCATTGGAACTTCTGTCTCTAAACAACAACCCAAGAGCTTTACCACATTCCTGTGGTTGATTTCGGAAAGCAACATAACCTCGTTAATAAACTGCTCAATCTGGTTTGGATCACTGATTTTGGATTTTTTTATCGCTACAGTTCTATTATCTAATAACACTCCTTTATAAACTGTTCCTTGACCACCTTGCCCTAGTATCCTATCTGGATTGAAGTTATTAGTTGCCCTTTTTAGCTCCTCCACTGTGAAGACTTTAGTCATTTCTGACCCTCTATGCCTCGCTACTCGTTGTTGTAACAATAGACCACCATTTTGCTCAAAAAAGTGTTCCTTAAGTTTCATGAGCTTTCTTTTCTTGAATGCCCAGTACACATAAAAGCTTCCCCCCAGCAGTGCTATGATGCCTATGCTCACACCTACGCATAAACAAGCGGAAACAAAGTCAATTTCTTCGTTTTGTCTTGTACATGTCTCAACTTCATGTTGCCGATGGTGTATGTTATAAAATCAAAATGTCACTCTATTCGGATAATTCCTGAGCTTACAAGTAATACGTATAGGCCTAATAGAGTAAATGCTATTTTAATCGTACCAAAATCACCTTGAATATATGCATAGAATTAATATTGTTGATTACCGATAAAGATTCTTTGATCAATATAATTTTAATAGTAAACTTGGTTATTGACAATAAAATGAAGAGCTATGATAGATTTGAGAACAAAATGTGTCGTAATTTCCAGCAGTGCAATAGTATACTCACTCAAAGTTGTTACGAGTATGATGTCTCTGCTGTTCGTATCTTTTTTGCATCCTGATCCATTTACTTTTCCATCTCCTACGAATCCTTTTCGGCATGAACAATTGTAACTCCCCGGATAGTTTTTGCACTTTTCCCGATGAATGCAATCGTTAGATCCCTTGCATTCGTCAACATCTAACAGATTATTTGTTAGTTATAATTTCTGATTTCACACTTAAAATTGTAATAGCAGAAAAGTTTATAGTTTATAATTAGTTAATTGAATTAAAGTTGTTTGATAAAATTAGTTTTTTAATTAACTAAAAGCTATTAAATGGCTTAGAAGAAAATATTTTATGTTATTTGTGTATTTAAAATGTTTAGATATACTGTAAATAAAATATTTTATTGAAAACTAATTTTTAATAAGATGAGTATCGCTTAAAGTAACTTTTAATAAACTAGTTTTTAAAAGTTATAAATCTTTTTTATATTTTGTTTATCAAACAATTCTACTAATGTATTGATAAAAAAATTATAAAGTCAAATAAGTTATAAGTTTATGTTATCAAAAACACTCTACTTCCAACAAAATAAAGAAAAAGTTTTCTTTTAGGTAAACTACTCAATAAACATTCCACGAGAAGAAAAATAAGTAAAATAAATTTAAATTATTTTCATAAGTTAAAAGCATGTACAATAACTTTTTAAGAAGTTAGATGATTTGGCTATTAAAGAAAGTTGAGTTGCATAAAGTTTTTCAACTTATAAAAAAATATTTTATTTTCAAGTGTTTGGTAAAATATTATAACTAATTCAAATTAAAATGTATTTAACTACTTATGGTTTGTTTGTATTAGGAGAAAAGAAGAAAATAGTAAAAAAAGGTAAGAAAGACTATCTGTTTAAACGAAGAAAAGCTAGAAAGAGAAAGTATTCTTTATCGACCCCATAATAGTAAAAAATAAAAAAAAAACTTCAAAACAGTAGGAAGTAAAACAGAGAAAAACAGGGGAGGAGAATCTGAGGTCGTAGAGAAGTTTATTTTTTAAAACATTTAAATAACATAAAAACAATAAAATAATTAAAACATATTTTTATTAAAAAATATTATGATAATAATAATAATAAATTAGTTTAATTTAAAATTTTTTGATTATTTTTTATCAATTTTTCATTAATCTAAATAAGATTTTGTTTTAAAAAAATCTTCATTTGAGTAAACTACTCAATAAACATTCCATGCGAAAAAATAAGTAAAATATATTACATTATTTTCATAAATTAAAATTATGTATAAATTTTTTAGAAGCTGGAAATGGGATTGTTTTCAAAGAAAGTTGAGATGGATAAGATTTTTAAATTATTAAAAAAAACCTTTTTTTTTCAAGTGTTGGCAAAAAAAATAAAAATTAAAATGGACTAAGAAATAATATTAAAAAAATTGTATTTTCATTCATGAAGTATTAAATAGATGTAAAAAAATAGGTGATAAAAAATAAATATAAAAAAAGTGAGTGTAAAAATATTATTATCGAAATAATATACATATACCTAGGCAACCATGAGGGAGATAAGGGTTTCCTTGAAAGCCAGGACGGCAACGACAAAGGTAACCGTTTCCGTCCGTTGCATTGTCACATCTACTGTTGTCTGCCTTACACGCATAACTTGATAAATTCATAGAATCTTTGCATGTTTGGTTCCCCACTGCCCAATCCACAACCACAGGAAACTCCTCCTTGTCCAACTTTAAGAGGTCTTTCTCTAAGAAGTTGTAGCTTCCGTTTTCCACCAGGAACGCAGAACCGCATGCGATTGGTTTGGTGCTAAATTCTTGGGCGAAGGAACTGTCGTTGATGACGTTCATAGCAGTATAGTAGCTGAAACTGGATATCCCTTGTTGTATT